CAATGTACAATGAGGACACCAGCTAATCTAGAAACAACGTTAACTTTAACTCTAGCAGATTCTTAAGATAAACTTACTAAACAACTTTAGTGGATTAGAAATATCAGAACTACCTATTTTGACTCTTCTGGACGTGTTTTATTTTACAAAAGGAAATATAACCGGCTAAAAAACAAAAATAAAGATCTACTTATAGTAAGTTAACTAATACTTCAATGTTTTTATATAAACAATTCCTTTCAGACACTCTGATTAACCTTTGAGTGACATAAAAAACGCTGCAGCATTAATACCAGTATTTTGCACAATTTGACACACAGCCATTAAGTTTGGCATTTTAAGAAAAATGAATAGTATTACAAAAAAGAATGGTAACTCATTGAGAAGGTTATATACCTAGTAAATAGTAAAGTTTAGTCTGTCTTCTATTCTTTAAAAAATTAGGCCCAGAATTTTAGTTACCCTAATTACCATCCCAATCAAATTTGATATGTATGTGTGGACTCTAGATAAAAGATACAATATTTTGAATAAACGTATGACTCACTGATTGGACTGTTTGCTTAAAATCTGCTTTACTGGGTTTAGATAAGAAGACTGTAATAAAGCTAACTATATATTGAGTTCCACTGATTAAAAATGTAGTTTTAAAAATTCTGCTTTTGTGGTAAATTTCTAGATAAATTATAAATGCAAAGCTCAATATTGTAAACACTGTACTGTTCACAGGTACTTTTGGAGAAGTGAAATGCTTGTGTTCAGACTACCAAAATTCTTACCCTTCAAATTAGGTTTTAAAAACTTTTTTTGAAAATCAGTACTTGCTTTTAAAAACTCTTAAAATGCAAGTTTCAATTTTTAAAAAATACTTGCAGATACATCTTAATGTTCTTTCAATCTCAATTATTTTTTACTTTCAATCATATTAAACACAGAACCAGGTTCTGAATAAACATCTATGAAGAATAGTCTCAATGTAAAATAAAACTAGAGAGTCTACAACTTATGCAGAAAGTTTCAGTGTGATTTACCAAAATTCCGAATTTCGGTAACTGTGGAAAACTTTTAGCTTAATATTCAAAACCAGCAACTTCGCATGAAACTAGATAGCTGGGAGGATCAAAAAGATTTAAATACTGCCCAACTTCTTCTGAAGTGATGCACTCTTTTATCCTGGAAAAGACGGAAATAGTCCTTTTATTTTACCGAAAATTTCTGATGACTACTATGGATCTGAAAGTTGTCAAAATTTAAACTACTTGTTTAAGATTTGTTTAGGATTTAAACGTTATAAATAATCAGAAAAAAAGATGATTCTTTTCAAGGAGCATATTTGAACACTAGGATAACAAATGTACCAAGATGGCTAGTTTTATTACATAGTTTAGTTGAAAAAGAAATCGATAATAAAAAAATAATCCCAGTAAACTCATAAATAACAGGACTTAAAACTCAGTATCATTTCATGTACTTCTTAGTTAATAATTTTGCAGGAATGTCCCAAAGACAGCTGGTAGAAAATGTAATTGTAAAAAATACTGTTTACACTAACTGAACTGCACTTAATAGGAACCACAGCTTGAGAACAGCTCTCCAAACTGAAATGTCATGCTTTTAGGTTAAAATATGTAAGGTTTGGCATTTAAAGACATACCATTAACCTGTGAAGATATATCATTCTTGAGAAAGGAAGGTAAAAATGTAAAATACATGCAAAACTTTCTTTTCACTCTTATCTTGCCTACAGATGTGCAGAGAGAAGTGAGAGGCCTTAGAAGGAGGAATGGGAAAGAGTGAATGAGTAATAACATAATAGTATTTCCTTTCCTACAAAGCTAACTATGCCCTTTTTTAAGAACTTCCGTTTCATTTTCATATAAATAAAAGTGGCTTCTGAAAGTTATCTGTCAAAAGAGTGATATCCTATTTAGGTTAAAATCTAGAAAACTGGTCACTGACATGTATCTTCACAGGTCATGTAGGAAACAAGATTGTGAAGGGGCTAGAGAATTAAGACAATGAAGAATGAAATTAGCTATGGAAATTGTAAATACATTCAAAAATACCTCAGGCATTCTAATTCAGTGTAACAACATACAGTCAACCAGAATAGGTCTAGATGTCAGATAACTGCAGGATGCCAACTTTTGATTCCTCTCCCAAATGAGCAGAAAACTCTCTAAGTTTTAAAGGGAGTTTTTTGTCTAACACCAGGTTAGAATTCAAGTTTAAAAAAATATTTTCTGGGCTGCACACGGTGGCTCACGACTGTAATCCTAGCACTTAGGGAGGTTGAGGCAGGGAGATCACTTGAGTCCAGGAGTTCAAGACAAGCCAGAATAATATAGTAAGATTCTTTAAAAAACAAAAATTCTTTTGACTGGGCACAGTGGCTCATGCCTGTAATCCCAGCACTTTGGGAGGCCAAGGAGGGCAGATCACAAGGTCAGAAGATCGAGACCATCTGGCTAACACGATGAAATCCTGTCTTTACTAAAAATACAAAAAGTTAACCAAAAAGCATGGTGGCGGGTGCCTGTAGTCCCAGCTACTTGGGAGGATGAGGCAGAGGAATGGCATGAACCTGAGAAGTGGAGCTGGCACTAAGCGGAGATCACCTCACCACACTCCAGCCTGGGTGACAGAGCAAGACTGTCTCAAAAAAAAAAAAAAAAAAAAAAAAAAAATCTTTTTAACTAGTCAAGTGTGGTAGTGCATGTCTGTAGTCCTAACTATTTGGGAGGCTGAGGTAGAAGGATCCCTTGAATGCAGGAGTTTTAGGTTGTAGTAAGCTGTGATTGTGACACTGCACTTCAGGCTAGATGACCAAATGAGGTCACCTCAAAAAAAAAACAAAAAACAAAAAAACACACACACACGACTATCTTCTGCTTTGCAAATCATTTAAGTACTACTGCAGACACCAATGTAATCATCAGGACTTTGGGTAAGATAAGCTGATGTACAATTCCAGTTCTTTCTTTTCTAAATTACACTATGTAGAACGAATCAACAAGAGAACAAATGTCAATTTTAAATATGTTTACTCTCTGTTGCAAAGATGTTAAGAACTTAATTCTGCTATTTGGCTCTATTCTTCTATATTATACAGGAGATCCATAATATAACCCTGTAAAAAGGCTTAGGCTTCATCTTATATACATTCACAGATGAAAAAACAAAGCTAGTTCTAAGACACAAAGTGATGGTTAAACATTTCCTTTTGAATGTAAAGTGTGTAGCCAGTTTTTACAAATCTGGCAGTTCCACTAAAAGTTAAATATGACTTAGCAATTCCATTCCCAAGTATATACACTAGAGAAATAAGAACATGCCCACACAATAACTTGTACATGAACGTTCACAGCATTATTTAAACAGCTAAAAAAAGGAAATAATCCAAATGTCTTTAGCAGATGAATGGATAAACAGAATGAGGTAATATCTATAAATAAAAAGAAATGAAGTTCTGATACGTGCTAGAAAATTGATGAACCTTAAAAGCATTATGCTGAGTGAAAAAATCCAGTCACTAAAGGCCACATTGTATGATTCCATATACATGAAATGTCCAGGACAGGAAAATCCTTAGAAAAAGAAAGTAAATTACTGGTTGCCTAGGGATACACAAGTTCTAAGAAAAAAGCAGGTGACTGCTAAGGTAGGGGAGTGATTTAAATATTCTAAAATTGTGGACATGGTTGCAAAACTGAATATATGAAAAGTTGCAAAACTGAATATATGAAAAAACAGTGAAGTGCACACTTTAAATACATAAATTGTATTACTAGTATTATTTCAATAAAACTATCATTTAAAAAAAGCCTTCCCTTTATTAACCATACTATTTCTCTCCCATTGGACTGTTAGTTCTTTTTCATATTTATAGACAAGTTCTTTTTCATATTTATAGACTTAGAACCACAGGGACCCAGAAACCTTTAGTCCTGTACCTTCTCATTTTACACTTGTAAAAACTGAAGCCTTAAGATTTATCTATCCAACATGGATAGAAAGTGGGATAAGAAATCAGATCTTTCTGGAATTCAACTAGTCACATTCTCTTCCACTTGACCAACTCTGAATCAACCTTTCTTTCTACTCAACTTTTTACTGCTTCACTTTACCCCTTTTCTCCCTTCACACTGTTCAGGTGTATCATCTGAATAAACCATTTCTTTTCTTCTCTTTAGTCCAATATGCATGTATTAAGTTCTACTTTTTTTTCTCTTTTTTTTCAGACAAGGTCTCCCACTGTTGCCCAGGCTGGCGTACAATAGCACGATCGTGGCTCAGTGCAGTCTAACTTCCCAGGCTCAAGTGATCCTCCTACTTTAGCCTCCTCTGGAGTAGCTGGGACTACAAACAGAAATGATCACAACTGGCTGATTTTTGTAGAGATATGGCTTTGCCACGTTACCCAGGGTGGTCTTGAACTCCTGAGCTGAAGCAATCCACCCACCTCAGCCCCCAAGTGTTGGAATTACAGGCATGAGCCACAACACCTGGCCAAGATCTGCTTTCTGTATCTAAAATTTTCTTTTACTATTTGGTCAAGGTAGTCAACTAACTCTCTTCTCTGGTAAACCCTTTCACAAATTTCTGCTGCAGGATCCTTCCCTAAATGTAACTACATTATATATCAAGGTTCGGCAGCAGAAAATATACTGCCAGGTAAAACCTATTCTGGTTTACTGGGTTACAATCATATGCCAACCATTCAATTAAATGCTCTAGACTGGGCGCAGTGGCTCACGCCTGTAATCCCAGCACTTTGGGAGGCAGAGGCGGGTGGATCACGAGGTCACGAGATCGAGACCATCCTGGCTAACACAGTGAAACCCCATCTCTACTAAAAATACAAAAAAATTAGCTGGGCATGGTGTCAGGCACCTGTAGTCCTAGCTACTCAGGTGGCTGAGGTAGGAGAATGGCATTAAGTAAACATAGGAGGTGGAGCTTGCAGTAAGCCTAGATGGCACCACTGCACTCCAGCCTGGGCAACAGAGCGAGACTCTGTGTCTCAAAAAAATAAAAAATGCTCTAAGAAATCTCAAAATACATATACCACAAGGAAAACACCTAACTTGAAAACTAAGAACTGTGCTTTTTAATTATGATAGTGTTCCTTTCATACCTTGAAGTAGTCATGTTGAGTAACAACAGAATTTCTCAGTCTGTTTTCTGGGTTAAACAGACAAGATACCACTGTTTGCATGCTTCGGTCCACAGATTTCTGAAACATAGAAGTGTTCAGTAATGTAAAGAGAATTCTTTCACTCACTTTTAATATGGGTGTTTTTTTTTTTATTGTTTAGTGAACATATTAGTTTACTTCTAAAGAAATGCAAAAGAGCCTGGGAGCGGTGGCTCACACCTGTAATCCCAGCACTTTGGGAGGCCGAGGTGGGCGGATCACCTGAGATCAGCAGTTCAAGACCATCCTGGCCAACATGATGAAATTCCTTCTCTACTAAAAAATACAAAAATTAGCTGGGTGTGGTGGCGGGAGCCTGTAATCCCACCTACTCAGGAGGCTGAGGCAGGGAGAACTGCCTGAACCTAGGAGACGGAAGCTGTAGTGAGCCGAGATCACACCACTGCACTTCCAACCTAGGTGACACCGTTAAGACCCCGACTCAAAAAAAAAAAAAAAATCATAAAAATGCGATTCGTAATTCTTAACCACGTATCACTCAGTAAGTTTTCTGACAAATCAAATTATTTTAGAACCTTAGTGACAGAATACTGGTTTAAAAAGCTGAATTTGTTAAATCGTTAAGTGAACTCCAATATTTCAAGAAAAAATACTCAGACAAAACCTGACAGTTATATTGTAAGATTATGTTTTAATATTTGCATTTTAAAATCGGGTATCAAATCAAGGAATTTACACTCCAACGGGACCTCTTTGGTATTATACATATTACCAGCACATCAACTACTTCCACACACCCACCTATTTAACAGAACATATGTGACATAAAAATGACAATATTATTTGCATTAACGATAAAAAGAAACAACCCTGTTTCAGTATCTGAAAAATTACTACTGACTTCACCACTGTTGGGAACTTCTGCCACATACAATGTTATGGAGAAGGCCATAAACAATATTTTTCACTGCTTAAGACTGAAGCTGTTGTAAAAGAAAAGAGACATATAATTCATACTAATTCTTCTTTTGAGGAGGATTCTAGAGGAAACCCTCCCATAGCATTCTGCCAAATCATATTAATACAGTATTTATTAAAGAATGTTTTTTTAAAATTAGTGGAACAGAAATATAGAAAAGGATGGCTGAATTAGAAACTTTATGTATATATTGAAAATTGGGAGTATCTGAAATTTCAACAACGGTTACATTGAGTATCAGTTCATTATTTAAGCTCTGTGATTTATGGCTAACATTTAAATTTGGGCAAAAATATTTGCTTCTCAAAAAATCATTATTAAAACTAGAAAAAAATATGAAATACATATTAAGAAAAAAGGAAAAAAAACTAGATGTTTGCCTTTTGTGGGCAATTTCCAGAGGGTGGGGCAACTCCATGAACTGAGCATTCATTTGGCACATCACCTCCTGTATCAACTTCACTACAGTGGTAGTTAAGAGCTGAATAAGCCTATGTTTAAAATAATGAAAGTGTAATTAAACAGATACACACATATGTTTAAAAGCCACTTATTTATTCCTCAAAAAAGGTGGTATTGAAAGTTTCAACATAGGTTGTACTGAAATTCAATTGTATTACTTCAGAAAGTTTGTTTTAAACGAAAAGTTGAAATACATTAAGGCAGTCTTTTGTTTTAAAACGTCTTCCAGGCATCAATATAACCAGAAGTAGAAGGACTTTAAGAAACGAACGTAGTAAGGGAGTGTTTGAGAATTTTAACACTTACATCTTTCAAAAATCCAGTGTGATGCAAGACAGCAGCTCTGGTGTATCAGACGCAATACTCTTGTTTTATTCCTATTCTTATTTAAGAGTAACAGTAAAACATTTCTGTTTCTCTTCAATAAATGTTTTTATGGCTGGTAAAGCCAGAGGTATTCTAGGAAGATACACTCTAATTCTAAAATCACGTTAATACTACCCCATTCCTGGATTAGATCATTTATCAACAAGTAACTGAACACTTATCATTATGTGGACCAGCCACTGTTTCAGCACACAAAAACCTGAGAGACAAAAAGGCAATGCGGCTTCCATGGGAGTTTGTAACTGAGTTAAAAATAAAGTAACAAAATGTAAAACATTAATATAAAGACCATTTAAAAATATCTACAGACATATATGGCATAGAAAAAAGTCAAGAAAAATGAAAGTATATGTAAAGCTAATTCACTTTATCCCATAACCCCTTTTGCTCCCCAACAGGCCACTGTGGTGGCATCTTAAAAAAAAAAAAAAAGAAAACCAAAACTATTAAAATATTCCCACACATTTTCAAAAACACATGAGATATACAATATTGAAGCACTTATCATGCTGGCTCCTTTGTTATTAAAATGAAAGCAGAAGAGTAGAAAAAAGAAGCACTTTATGTTTCTAACCCCTGACATTCTTGTTACTTCTATATATAAAAACCTCATCGTTTTCCCAATTTTCTGGAGTTGGAATTGCGGAAATCTCAAAGATACTAGTGACGTTTTTGTTACTTCTATATATAAAACCTCACCATTTTCCCAATTTTCTAGAGTTGGCATTGTGGAAATCTCAAAGATAATAGTACTTACAATTTATTATTTATTATCAAAGATAAGATTATGGGTTATAGATACAGTCATATTTATGAAAAGAGGCTGAGAAAACTACTATCATGAAGCAGCAAACTAAAATAAAAATATAATTGGAATTCTGTGTTCTAAGAATGGGATACTTTTATTTCACTCTATCTCCCTTAAAAAAAGATGAAAGTCAGTCTGGATGTTTCAGCTATTTGACAGCAAAGATGAAAAAAATACATGCTGAAATATAAAAGGGGACAACAAACCTCAGAAAATGGTTCTACAGAAAAGTTATTGCTAAGTATATTCCTGTCAAAATGTTAATCCATTACTTCTAAATAATACAGAGGGCTTCATTCTAGACCAACTGTGTTTTCTTAAATTTCAGGTACATTTCATTAGTTTAAAATGACTATTCAGGCTATTTGTATAAACAAGTTAAAGGCCTCAATAATATCTGAAAATAAATCATTTTACTCCCCCTTCAATTACCTGGTAATTATATACAGGCAACTGATACCCAGTGGTGACCTGACCTGGTGAATTTGGATAAGTAGGATATGTCTGAAAGTAAGTTTACAGAAAGAATGAATGAATACGGTAAAACATTTTCTTAAATTAGAAAGAAACATTATTCCCAATATAAAAATATGAAAATCTTTAAAATATTTATTACTTTTCTATATACAATAAATGCAGAGTTCTAAATGAATGAAGGAAGGAAGAAAGAAATATTATCTGCCAAGTGCTAAGCCCCTTTGGGGAGGGCGGGGAAATAGACGAATGACAAAGTAGTGACTATTTCACCAAAGTTTCCCTTACTTAAACTGTGTACTTATTCCCACCCAGAAGTTATTTCTTACACTGCTGATAAGGCTCCATTAAGACTGATTTCAATGTAAGTTAATACATTTTCTATTTCTTTGTCGATATATTTCCAGACAGTTTTGTGTTTGAAAATAATAGGGCAATATGTAGTTCTTCTACAGATGTTAAGATTTTTTCTGTATTTTATTTCAATAAACTAAGGGCAGTATATAATCCAATACTGGAAGACAGTACATGTCTTGTATGTTTCAATAAATCCTTCTGTTTGAAACATATAGGAAGCAGCATACATGAATACACCCAGATTCAGTAACAGCTTACAGCAAATGTTAGAAACACGTAGGGCTTTTTTTCTAGCCATTGTCCAGAGGAGGAAAAATAAGAAGAGGTATACTCTACACATTTCAAGTACATGGAAAATATCAATAAATGAGAGACACTGAAAAACGATTTCACTACTATTTTGTTACTTTATTTTCCATCGAATAAAATGTCTTTTAAACTAAGACATTAAATAAAATGGACTATCACCAGTAAGTGACACAGTATGTCAAATCCTGCTTTAAATACCAAAGTAACCAAGATCAGAGAAATTAGATGCCAGAAATTCATAGGATTTTTAGGTATAGTAAAACACATCAGAAATCTACCCATTCCAGAAACAGAATATATCCAGAAGTCAGCAGTTTATATGAGGAGTCATCTGGAAATCATTGCAAGTAAAGAAGAGCAAGATTAATTGCTAACCTTAGAGAAGAAAAAACTAGGCAGAAACATAAGAACAGTTGTTTTCAAATATTTTCAGAACTAGTTGTAAGGGAGGGAAAGAAGCTCAGGTGTTTTAGAGGTAATACACCTTTTTATTCTTATTTTTATTTAAGAGTTATTAACAGCAATACATTTGTGTTTCTCTTCAAAAAAAATTTTGTGGCTGGTAAAGCCAGCAGCAGACTCTAGGCAGATACATGCTAATTCTAAATTAACATTAATACTACCTTTCTTAGATTACACAGTCTATCAACAAGGAACTGAACACTTATTATGTGGACCAGCCACTAAGAGAGAAAAGGGCACTGTTGTGCCCATGGGAGATTATAATTGGGTTAAAAATAAAGTAACAAAATGTAACACATTAATATAAAAAACCATTTAAAAATATTTACAGGCATATATGATATGGAAAATAACCCAGAAAGAACAGAGAGGACATGGTAGGTTAATTCACTTTACCCGAGGTACAACCTACCTCCTTTGCTCCCCAACAGGCCACTGCAGTGGCATCTTAAAAAAAAAAAAAAAAAAAAGGAAACCAAAATTATTCAAATATTTCTAAACATTTTTAAAAACACATAAGATATATAATATTGAAGTACTTATGCTGACTCCTTTGTTATAATAATAAAACAATGGATAAAACTACTTCATAGTTCCAATCCCTGACATTCTTATGGTTACTTCCACAGATAAAACCTCACGTTTTCCCCAGTTTTTTGGATTTGGCATTGTGGAAATCTCAAAGATGTTACTTCTTTGAATTTATTATGATAGATATGATTATTGGTCACAGATACAGTCATATCTATGAAGAGAGAACCAGAGAACAACTCTTGTGAAGCAGCTTGCTATAATGAAAATTTAAATTCTGTGCTCTAAGAATTGGGTAATTATTTTACTCACACTATATCCCTAAACAATTCATGAAAGTCACTCTGGATGTTTCATTTAGCTATTTGACAGCAAAGATGAAAACTACATCCTGAAATATAGAAGGGCCAAATCTCAGAAAACTGTTCTACAGAAAAGTTATTGCCAAGTATATTCCAATCAAATTATTATTCCATTACTTCTAAGTAATACAGACGTCTTCATTCTAGACTAATCCTAGTGTTTTCTTAAATTGTAGGTAGAATTCACTAGTTTAAAATGACCAACTATTCACACAATTTGTATACAAAACTTAAAGGCCTCGATAATATGTGAAAGCAAATCATTTTACTCCTTTTTACGTTACCAGATAATTACATACAGGCAACTGATATCCAGTAGTGACCTGAACTGGTGAATTTGGATAAACAGGAAATGCCTGAAAATAAAGGATACAGAAAAAAAGAAAATGGTAAACCATTTTTTAAAATTAGAAAGAAATATCATTCCCAACTAACAAAAATATAAAAAACTTTTAAATACTGTTTTTCTATATAAAACAATGCAGAATTCTAAATGAATGACTATGAAGAAAGAAATATTCTCTGTCAAGTGCTACATTTTGGGTATGAGGGGGGAACAAATGACAAAATAATTGACTATTTCACCAAAGTTTACCTTCCTTATACTGTGTACTTATTCACACTCAGAAGTTATTTCTTACATAACTTTCTTACATAAGGTTCCATTAACACAGATTTCACTGTAAGTTAAATTAATACATTTGCTATCTCTCTGTGAAAATACTTCTAGACTGTTTTTTATTAGACAGTATTATAGGGTAATATGTAGTTGTACAGATGTTATGGCTTCTTCTGTGATGTTATGGCTTTTTCTGTACTTCATTCTGAAAAACTAAGTGCAGTATATAATCCAATATTGGAGAAGAGAAAGTATAATGTCTTATATGTTTCAATAAATACCTACTGTCTGAAAACATACAGGTAGCAGCATACACGAATACCTCCAGATTCAGTAATGGCTCACATTCCTGAATCAGTAAATGACTCACAGTAATGTCAGAAACAAGTGGGGTTTTTTTCCTAGCCATTGTACAGAGAAGGAAAAAGAAGAGGTATACCCTTCATGTTTCAAGTACATAGAAAACGTCAACAAATGAGACACACTGAAGAACTATATCATTACTATTTGGTTACTTTATTTTCCATCAAAGAAAATGTCTTTTAAACTGAGACATAAATAAAATGAACTAAGAAGAATATAGACGTTTTTTATCACCAATAAGTGATAGAGTATGTCAAATCCTAATTTAAATATCAATGTAACCGGGATCAGAGATGTTAGATGCAAGTTAAATGAGGCGGCATCTGGAAATCACTGCAAATAAAGAATAGCTAGATGAACTGCTAAACTTAGAGAATAATAAAGTAGACAGATACATAGAGCTGCTTTCATTCTCTTTAGCAAGTTGCTATATGGTGAGGGGGGCGGAAAGCAGCTTGGGTGTTTTAGAGGCAATACCCTTTCTTCTTCCTGTTCTTATTTAAGAGTAATTAACAGCAAAACATTTCTGTTTCTCTTCAACAAATTTTCTATTGCTGGTAAAGCCAGATGCAGATTCTAGGCAGATACATGCTAATTCTAAAGCCACACTAACTACCTTTCTTTAATTATATAGTCTATCATTATGTGGACCGGCCACTGCTTAAGCACACAAATACCTGAGAAAAAAAGGCACTGTCGCTCCCATTGGAGTTTATTATTGGGTTAACAAGAAAGTAAAAAAAAAAAAAAAAACTATAAAGAACCATTTAAAAACATTTATAGGCATAATAACTTGGGGGAAAAAAAAAACGAACAGGAAGTATATGTTAGGCTAATTTACTTAACCTCAAGTATGGTATAACCCCTTTGTTCCCCAATGGTCCACTATGGTGGCATCTTCAAAAAAAAAAAAAACAAAACAAAAAGAAAAAACGAAACCAAAACTATTAAAATATTCCTCCACATTTTCAAAAACACACGAGAAACACAATATTGAGGTACTTATCCTGCTGTGTCCTTTTTTACTATATTAAAAGTAACAGAATCGAAAACGTAACTACTTTATGTTTCTAGTTTCAGATGTTATCATAACTTTTATATATAAAACTTCACCTTTTTCCACATTTTCTGGATTTGGCATTGTGCAAATCTCAAAGTTACCATCTCTTTCAGTTTATTACCATAGATATAATTATGGGTCACAGATGTCACATATATGAAAAGGGATCCAGAGAACTACTATCATGAAACAGCCAGCTAAAATAAAAATATAATTGGAATTCTGTGCTCTAAAAAGTGGGTAATAATTTGATTTCACTCTACCTCCCTAAAAAAATTATGAAAATCAGTGTGGATGTTTCTTTCAGCTATTTGACAGCAAAGATAAAAACTACATCCTGAAATACAGAAGGGAACACTAAATCTCAGAAAACTGTTCTACAGAAATGTTATTGCCAAGTATATTGCCGTCAAAATATTACTCCATTACTTCTAAATAATACAGAGGTCTTCATTCTAGACTAATTCTAAATGTTTTCCTAAATTTTAGGTACACTTCACTAGTTTAAAATGATCAACTATTTGGGCAATTTGTATAAACACGTTAAAGGTCTCGATAATATGTGAAAGCAAAAGTAAATCATTTTACTCCTTCTTACATTACCTGATAATTACATACAGGCAACTGATATCCAGTAGTGACCTGAACTGGTGAATTTGGATAAACAGGAAATGCCTGAAAATAAAGCGTACAGAGAAAAAGAAAATGGTAAACCATTTTTTTTTAAATTAGAAAGAAATATCATTCCCAATATAACAAAAATGTAAAAACCTTTTAAATATTGTTTTTCTATATAAAATAATGCAGAATTCTAAATGAATGACTTTAAGAAGAAAGAAATATTCTCTGTCAAGTGCTACATTTTGGGTGTGAATGGGGAACAAATGACAAAAGAATTGACTATTTCACCAGGAAAAGCTTACCTTACTTTCACTGTGTACTTACTCAAACCCAAAAGTTATTTCCTACACTGCTGATAAGGCTCCATTAACACAGATTTCACTGTAAGTTAAATTAACACATTTGCTATTTCTTCGTAAAAATCCTTCTAGACCGTTTTGTATTAGACAATATTATAGGGTAATATGTAGTTGTACAGATGTTATGGCTTCTTCTGTACTTCATTCTGAAAATCTAAGTGCAGTATATAATCCAATACTGGAGAAGAGAAAATACAATGTCTTATATGTTTCAATAACTACTTATTGTTTGAAAACATATAGGTAGCAGCATTCATGAATACACCCAGATTCAGTAATGGCTCACAGTAATTGTTAGAACCAAGTAGGACTTTTTTCTAGCCATTGTTCAGAAAGGAAAAAGAAGAGGTATACCTACACGTTTCAAGTACATGGAAAAATGTCAACAAAGGAGAGCCAGTGAAGAAATATTTCATCACTATTTTGTTACTTTATTTTCCATCAAAGAAAATATCTTTTAAACTAAGACATAAATTGAACTAAGAAGAATATAGACGTTATTTATCACCAATAAGTGATAGAGTGTGTCAAATCCTACTTTAAATATCAAAGTAACCGGGATGAGACATTAGATGTCAGAAACTCACAGGATTTATATATATATAGTGAAACACACCAGAAATCTACCCATTCCAGAACCAGAATACATCCAGAAGTCAGCAAGTTATATGAGGAGGCATCTGGAAATCATTGCAAATAAAGAATAGCTAGATGAATTGCTAAACTTAGAGAAGAATAAAGTAGACAGACACATAAGGAGAGCTGCTTTCATTCTTTTAGCAACTGGTTATATGGGGAAGGGGGTAGAAAGCAGCTTGGGTTTTTTACAGGCAATACTCTTTCTTCTTCCTATTCTTATTTAAGAGTAATTAACAGCAAAACATTTCTGTTTCTCTTCAACAAATTTTCTATTGCTGGTAAAGCCAGATGCAGATTGTAGGCAGATACACGCTAATTCTAAAGCCACACTAACACTATCTTTCTTTGATTATATAGTCTATCATTAGGTGGACCAGCCATTGCTTAACTACACAAAAAACTGAGAGAGAAAAAGGTACTATTGCTCCCACTGGAGTTTATAATTGGGTTAACAAGAAAGTAAAAAAAAATTAAATAAAATATTAATATTAAGAACCATTTAAAAATATATAGGGATATATGACTTGGAAAAATATCAAGAATGAACAGGAAGTATATGTGTGGCTATTTCACTTAACCTGAAGGACAACATAATCCCTTTGTTCCCCAACAGGCCACTATGGTGGCATCTTCGGAAAAAAAAAAAAAAAAACACACACACACGATTATTCCTACACATTTTCAAAAACACATGAGAAACACAAAATTACTTACTCTGCTGTGTCCTTTTTTATTATAATAAAAGTAACAGAATCAAAAATGTAACTACTTTATGTTTCTAGTCTCAGATGTTGTCGTAACTTTTATATACAAAACATCTTTTACCAAATTTTCTGGAGTTGGCATTGTGCAAATCTCAAAGTTACTCTCTCTTTCAGTTTATTACCATAGATATAATTATGGGTCACAGATATAGTCATATATATGAAAAGGGATCCAGAGAACTACTATCGTGAAACAGCCAGCTAAAATAAAAATATAATTGGAATTCTGTGCTCTAAAAAGTGGGTAATAATTTGATTTCACTCTACCTCCCTAAATAAATTTATGAAAATCAGGGTGGATGTTTCTTTCAGCTATTTGACAGCAAAGATGAAAAGTACATTCTGAAATACAGAAGGTGACACCAAATCTCAGAAAACTGTTCTACAGAAATGTTATTGCCAAGTATATTGCTGTCAAAATATTACTCCATTACTTCTAATACAGAGGTCTTCATTCTAGACTGATTCTAAGTGTTTTCTTAAATTTTAGGTACACTTCACTAGTTTAAAATGACCAACTATTCGGGCAATTTGTATAAACAAGTTAAAGGTCTCCATAATATGTGAAAGCAAAGGCAAATTATTTCATTCTTTCTTACTAGGGATGTAAAGGACCTCTTCAAGGAGAACTACAAACCACTGCTCAGTGAATTAAAAGAGGACACAAACAAATGGAAGAACACACCATGCTCATGGATAGGAAGAATCAATATCGTGAAAATGGCCATACTGCCCAAGGTAATTTGTACATTCAATGCCATCCCCATCAACCTACCAATGAGTTTCTTCACAGAATTTGAAAAAACTGCTTTAAAGTTCTTATGGAACCAAAAAAGAGCCCGCATTGCCAAGACAATACTAAGTCAAAAGACAAAGCTGGAGGCATCGCACTACCTGACTTTAAACTATACTACAAGGCTACAGAAACCAAAACAGCATGGTACAGGTACCAAAACAGAGATATAGACCAACGGAACAGAACAGAGTCCTCAGAAATAATACCACACATCTACAGCCATCTGATCTTTGACAAACCTGAGAGAAACAAGAAATGGGGAAAGGATTCCCTATTTAATAAATGGTGCTGGGAAAATTGGCTAGCCATAAGTAGAAAGCTGAAACTGGATCCTTATTCCTTGTACGAAAATTAATTCAAGATGGATCAGAGACTTAAATGTTAGACCTAATACCATAAAAACCCTAGAAGAATATCTAGGTAATACCATTCAGAACATAGGCATGGGCAAGGACTTCATGTCTAAATCACCAAAAGCAACAGCAACAAAAGCCAAAATTGACAAATGGGATCTAATTAAACTAAAGAGCTTCTGCACAGCAAAAGAAACTACCATCAGAGTGAACAGGCAACCTACTGAATGGGAGAAAATTTTTGCAATCTACTCATCTGACAAAGGGCTAATATCCAGAACCTACAAAGAACTCAAACAAATTTACAAGGAAAAAACAAACAACCCCATCGAAAAGTGGGCAAATTGTATAAACAAGTTAAAGGTCTCTATAATATGTGAAAGCAAAGGCAAATTATTTCATTCCTTCTTACTAGGGATGTAAAGGACCTCTTCAAGGAGAACTACAAACCACTGCTCAGTGAATTAAAAGAGGACACAAACAAATGGAAGAACACGCCATGCTCATAAGAACACAGACAGTTCTCAAAAGAAGACATTCATACAGCCAACAGACACATGAAAAAATGCTCATCATCACTGGCCATCAGAGAAATGCAAATCAAAACCACAATGAGATACTATCTCACACCAATTAGAATGGCAATCATTAAAAACTCAGGAAACAACAGGTGCTGGAGAGGATGTGGAGAAATAGGAACACTTTTACACTGTTGGTGGGATTGTAAACTAGTTCAACCATTATAGAAAACAGTATGGCGATTCCTCAAGGATCTAGATCTAGAAGTACCATTTGACCCAGCCATCCCATTACTGGGGATATACCCAAAGGATTATAAATCATGCTGCTATAAAGACACATGCACACGTATGTTTATTGCGGCACTATTCACAATAGCAAAGACTTGGAATCAACCCAAATGTCCATCAGTGACAGACTGGATTAAGAAAATGTGGTACATATATACCACGGAATACTATGCAGCCATAAAAAAGGATGAGTTTGTGTCCTTGGTAGGGACATGGATGCAGCTGGAAACCATCATTCTCAGCAAACTATCGCAAGAACAGAAAACCAAACACTGCATGTTCTCACTCATAGGTGGGAACTGAAAAATGAGATCACTTGGACTCGGGAAGGGGAACATCATACACGGGGGCCTATTATGGGGAGCGGGAAGGGGGGAGGGATTGCATTGGGAGTTATAACTGATGTAAATGATGAGATGATGGGTGCAGCACGCCAACACGGCACAAGTATACATATGTAACAAACCTGCACGTTATCCACACGTACCCTAGAATTTAAAGTATAATAAATAAATAAATAAATAAAATAAATAAATGAATACATTACCTGATAATTATATATCGGCAACTGATATCCAGTAGTGACCTGAACTGGTAAATTTGGATAAACAGGAAATGTCTGAAAATAAAGAGCACAGAAAAAAAGAAAATGTTAAACTATTTTTTAAAATTAGAAAGAAATATCATTCCCAATATAACAAAAATGTAAAAACCTTTTAAATATTGTTTTTCTATATAAAACAATGCAGAATTCTAAATGAATGACTGACTTTATGAAGAAAGAAATATTCTGTCAAGTGCTACATTTTGGGTGTGAAGGGTGAACAAATGACAAAGAATTGACTATTTCACCAGGCAAAGCTTACCTTTCTTACACCGTGTGCTTATTCACACTCGGAAGTTATTTCCTAAGCTGCTGATTTCACTGTAAGTTAAATTAACACATTTGCTATTTCCTCATAAAAATACTTCTAGACTGTTTTGTATTAGACAGTATTATAGTGTAATATGTAGTTGTACAGATGTTATGGCTTCTTCTATGACGTAATGGCTTTTTCTGTACTTCATTCTGAAAATCTAAGTGCAGTATATAATCCAATACTGGAGAAGAGAAAATACAATGTCTTATATGTTTCAATAACTACTTACTGTTTGAAAACATATAGGTAGCAGCATACATGAATACACCCAGATTCAGTAATGGCTCACAGTAAATGTTAGAACCAAGTAGGGCTTTTTTTCTAGCATTGTTCAGAGAAGGAAAAACAAGAAGAGGTATACCCTACACGACGTTTCAAGTACATGGAAATATGTCAACAAAGGAGAGCCACTGAAGAAATATTTCATTGCTATTTTGTTACTTTATTTTCCATCAAAGAAAGTATCTTTTAAACTAAGACATCAATAAAATGAACTAAGAAGAATATAGACGTTATTCATCACCAATAAGTGATACAGTATTCAAATCCTACTTTAAATTTCAATGTAAATGGGATGAGAGACATTAGATGTCAGAAACTCGTGGGATTTATATACATATAGTAAAACACATCAGGTATCCACCCATTCCAGAACCAGAATACTTCCAGAAGTCAGCAAGTTATATGGGGAGGAATCTGGAAATCATTGCAAATAAAGAATAGCTAGACGAAATGATAAACTTAGAAAAAAATAAAGTAGACAGACACATAAGGAGAGCTGCTTTCATTCTCTTTAGCAACTTGTTATATGAGGATGGGGGCGGAAAGCAGCTTGGGTGTTTCAGAGGCAATACTCTTTCTTCTTCCTGTTCTTATTTAAGAGAAATTAACAGCAAAACATTTCTGTATCTCTTCAACAAATTTTCTATTGCTGGTAAATCCAGAAGCAGATTCTAGAAAGATATATGCTAATTCTAAAGCCTCACTAACATTACCTTTCTTTGACTATATAGTCTATCATTAGGTGGACCAGCCATTACTTAAGAACACAAAAAAATGAGAGAGAAAAAGGCACTGTTGTTCTCATTGGAGTTTACAATTGGGTTAACGAGAAAGTAAAAAAAAAATAAATAAAATATTAATATAAAGAACCACTTAAAAATATTTATGGGCATATATGACTTGGAAAAAAAATCAAGAATGAACAGCAAGTATATGTGTGGCTATTTCACTTAACCTGAAGGACAACATAACCCCTTTGTTCCTCAACAGGACACTATGGTGGCATCTTAAAAAAAAGAAACAAGAAACCAAAACTATTCAAATATTCCTACACACTTTCAAAAACACATGAGAAACAAAATATTAAAGTACTTATCCTGCTATGTCCTTTTGTATTATAATAAAAGTAACAGAATGGAAAACGTAAGTACTTTATGTTTCTAGTCTCAGATGTTGTCATAATTTTTATGTATAAACCTTCGCCTTTTTCCACATTTTCTGGCGTTGGCATCGTGGAAATCTCAAAGATACTATCTCTTTCAGTTTATTACCATAGATACAATTATGGGTCACAGATATAGTCATATATATGAAAAGGGATCCAGAGAACTACTATCATGAAACAGCCAGCTAAAATAAAAATATAATTGGAATTCTGTGCTCTAAAAAGTGAATAATTTGATTTCACTCTACCTCCCTAAATAAATTTATGAAAATCAATGTGGATGTTTCTTTCAGCTATTTGACAGCAAAGATAAAAACTACATTCTGAAATACAGAAGGGGACACCAAATCTCAGAAAACCGTTCTACAGAAATATTATTGCCAAGTATATTGCCGTCAAAATATTACTCCATTACTTCTAAATAATACAGAGGTCTTCATTCTAGACTAATTCTAAGTGTTTTCTTAAATTTTAGGTACACTTCACTAGTTTAAAATGATCAACTATTTGGGCAATTTGTATAAACAAGTTAAAGGTCTCGATAATATGTGAAAGCAAAGGCAAAGCATTTCATTCCTTCTTACATTACCTGATAATTACATACAGGCAACTGATATCCAGTAGTGACCTGAACTGGTGAATTTGGATAAACAGGAAATGCCTGAAAATAAAGGGTACAGAAAAAAAGAAAATGGTAAACCATTTTTTAAAATTAGAAACAAACATCATTCTCAATATAACAAAAATGTAAAAACCTTTTAAATACTGTTTTTCTATATAAAAAATGCAGAATTCTAATTGAATGACTGACTTTATGAAGAAAGAAATATTCTCTGTCAAATGCTACATTTTGGGTGTGAATGGGGAACAAATGACAAAAGAATTGACTATTTCACCAGGCAAAGCTTACCTTACTTACACTGTGTGCTTATTCACACCCGGAAGTTATTTCCTACACTGCTGATAAGGCTCCATTAACACAGATTTCACTGTAAGTTAAATTAACACATTTGCTATTTGACTGTAAAAATACTTCTAGACTGTTTTGTATTAGACAATATTATAGGGTAATATGTAGCCGTACAGATGTATGGCTTCTTCTGTGATGTTATGTCTTTTCCTTTACTTCCTTCTGAAAAACTAAGTGCAGTATATAATCCAATAGTGGAAAAGAGAAAATACAATGTCTTACATGTTTCAATAACTACTTATTGTTTGAAAACATATAGGTAGCAGCATTCATGAATACACCCAGATTCAGAAACGGCTCACAATAAATGTTAGAACCAAGTAGGGCTTTTTTTTAAGCCATTGTTCAGAGAAAGTAAAAGAAGTAAAGGTATATCTACATGTTTCAAGTACATGGAAAAATGTAAACAAAGCAGAGCCACTGAAGAAACATTTCATGACTATTTTGTTACTTTATTTTCCATCAAAGAAAATATCTTTTAAACTAATATAAAAATAAAATGAACTAAGAAGAATGCAGATGTTATTTATCACCAGTAAGTGACAGAGTGTGTCCAATCCTACTTTAAATATCAATGTAACCGAGATGAGAGACATTAGACGTCAGAAATTCACAGGATTTATATACATATAGTAAAATACATCAGAAATCTACCAATTCCAGAACCAGAATACATCCAGAAGTCACCATGTTATATGAGAAGGCATCTGGAAATCAATGCAAATAAAGAATAGCTAGATGAACTCCTAAACTTAGAGAAGAATAAAGTAGATAGACACATAAGGAAAGCTGCTTTCATTCTCTTTAGCAACTGGTTATATGGGGAGGGGGGCGGAAAGTAGCTTGGGTGTTTTACAGGCAATACTCTTTCTTCTTCCTATTCTTATTTAAGAGTAATTAACAGCAAAACATGTCTGTTACTCTTCAACAAATTTTCTGTTGCTGGTAAATCCAGATGCAGATTGTAGTCAGATACATGCTAATTCTAAAGCCACACTAACATTACCTTTCTTTGATTATATAGTCTATCATCATGTGAATCAGCCATTACTTAAGAACACAAAAAAATGAGAGAGAAAAAGGTACTGTTGCTCCCATTAGAGTTTACAACTGGGTTAACAACAAAGTAAAAAAAAAAAGAAAAGAAAATACTAATATAAAGAACCATTTGGAAATATTTATGTGCATATATGACTGTGAAAAAAATTCAAGAATGAACAGCAAGTATATGTGTGGCTATTTCACTTAACCTGAAAGACAACATAACCCCTTTGTTCCCCAACAGGCCACTATGGTGGCATCTTAAAAAAAAAAAACAGGAAACCAAAACTAATAAAATATTCCCACACATTTTCAAAAACACATGAGAAACACAATATTAAAGTACTTATCCTGCTATGTCCTTTTGTATTATAATAAAGGTAACAGAATAGAAAACGTAAGTACTTTATGTTTCTAGTCTCAGACGTTGTCGTAACTTTTATGTATAAACCTTCACCTTTTTCCAAATTTTCTGGAGTTAGCATCGTGGAAATCTCAAAGATACTATCTCCTTCAGTTTATTACCATAGATATAACTATGGGTCACAGATATAGTCATATATATGAAAAGGGATCCAGAGAACTACTATCGTGAAACAGCCAGCTAAAATAAAAACATAATTGGAATTGTGTGCTCTAAAAAGTAGGTAATAATTTGATTTCACTCTACCTCCCTAAATAAATTTATGAAAATCAGTGTGGATGTTTCTTTCAGCTATTTGACAACAAAGATAAAAACTACATTCTGAAATACAGAAGGAGACACCAAATCTCAGAAAACCATTCTACAGAAATGTTATTGCCAAGTATATTGCTGTCAAAATATTACTCCATTACTTCTAAATAATACAGAGGTCTTCATTCTAGACTGATTCTAAGTGTTTTCTTAAATTTTAGGTACACTTCACTAGTTTAAAATGACCAACTATTCGGGCAATTAATGTAAACAAGTTTAAAGGTCTCAATAATATGTGAAAGCAAATCATTTTACTCCTTCTTACATTACCTGACAATTATATACAGGCAACTGATATCCAGTAGTGACCTGAACTGGTGAATTTGGATAAACAGGAAATGCCTGAAAATAAAGAGCACAGAAAAAAGGAAAATGGTAAACCATTTTTTAAAATTAAAAGAAATATCATTCCCAATATAACAAAAATATAAAAACATTTTAAATATTTTTTCTATATAAAGCAATGCAGAATTTTAAATGAATGGCTGACTTTATGAAGAAAGAAATATTCTCTGTCAAATGCTACATTTGGGGTGTGAAGGGGGAACAAAAGACAAAAGAATTGACTATATCACCAGGCAAAGTTTACTTTACTTATACTGTGCACTTATTCACACCCGGAAGTTATTTCCTACACTGCTGATAAGGCTCCACTAACACAGATTTCACTGTAAGTTAAATGAATACATTTGCTATTTCCTCGTAAAAATCATTCTAGCCTGTTTTGTATTAGACAATATTATAGGATAATATGTAGCTGTACAGATGTTATGGCTTCTTCTGTGATGTTATGGCTTTTCCTGTACTTCCTTCTGAAAAACTAAGTGCAGTATATAATCAAATACTGGAGAAGAGAAAATACAAGGTCTTATATGTTTCAATAACTACTTATTGTTTGAAAACATACAGATAGCAGCATATCTGAATACACCCAGATTCAGAAATGGCTCACAGTAAATGTCACCAAGTAGGGCTTTTTTTACAGCCATTGTTCAGAGAAGGAAAAAGAAGAAGAGGTATACCCTACATATTTCAAGTACAGGGAAATATGTCAACAAAGGAGAGCCACTGAAGAAATATTTCATCGCTATTTTGTTACTTTATTTTCCATCAAAGAAAGTATCTTTTAAACTAAGACATCAATAAAATGAACTAAGAAGAATATAGACGTTATTCATCACCAATAAGTGATACAGTATTCAAATCTTACTTTAAATTTCAATGTAACCATGATCAGAGAGGATAGATGTCAGAATCTCATGGGATTTATGTACATACAGTAAAACACCTCAGAAATCTACCTATTCCAGAACGAGAATACATCCAGAAGTCAGCATGTTATAAGAGAAGGCATGTGGAAATCACTGCAAATAAAGAATAGCTAGATAAACTGCTAAACTGAAAGAATAAAGTAGACACATAAAGAGAGCTGCTTTCTTTCTCTTTAGCAATTGGTTATATGGGGAGGAGGGTGGAAAGCAGCTTGGGTGTGTTAGAGGCAACACTCTTTCTTCTTCCTATTCTTATTTAAGAGTAATTAACAGCAAAACATTTCTGTTTCTCTTCAACAAATTTTCTATTGCTGGTAAAGCCAGATGCAGATTGTAGTCAGATACACGCTAATTCTAAAGCCACACTAACATTACCTTTCTTTGATTATACAGTCTATCATTATATGGACCAGCCATTATTTAAGAACACAAAAAAACAGAGAGAGAAAAAGGCATTATTGCTCCCATTGCAGTTTATAATTGGGTTAACAAGAAAGTAAAAAAAAGTAAATAAAATATTAATATAAAGAACTATTTAAAAATATTTAAAGGCATATATGACTTGGAAAAATATCAAGAATGAACAGGAAGTATATGTGTGGCTATTTCACTTAACCTGAAGGACAACATACCCCTTTGTTCCCCAACAGGACACTATAGTGGCATCTTAAAAAAAAACCAGGAAACTAAAACTAATAAAATATTCCTACACATTTTCAAAAACACATGAGAAACACAATATTAAAATATATATCCTGCTGTGTCCTTTTGTATTATAATAAAATAGAATGGAAAACGTAAGTACTTTATGTTTCTAGTCTCAGATGTTGTCATAACTTTTATGTATAAACCTTCACCTTTTTCCAAATTTTCTGGAGTTGGCATCGTGGAAATCTCAAAGATACTATCTCTTTCAGTTTATTACCATAGATATAACTATAGGTCACAGATATAGTCATATATATGAAAAGGGATCCAGAGAACTACTATCGTGAAACAGCCAGCTAAAATAAAAATATAATTGGAATTCTGTGCTCTAAAATGTGGGTAATAATTTGATTTCACTCTACCTCCCTAAATAAATTTAAGAAAATCAATGTGGTGTTTCTTTCAGCTATTTGACAGCAAAGATGAAAACTACATCCTGAAATACAGAAGGGGACACCAAATCTCAGAAAACTGTTCTACAGAAATGTTACTGCCAAGTATATTGCTGTAAAAATATTACTCCATTACTTCTAAATAATACAGAGGTCTTCATTCTAGATTGATTCTAAGTGTTTTCTTAAATTTTAGGTACACTTCACTAGTTTTAAATGACCAACTATTCGGGCAATTAGTGTAAACAAGTTAAAGGCCTCGATAATATGTGAAAGCAAATCATTTTACACCTTCTTACATTACCTGATAATTACATACAGGCAACTGATATCCAGTAGTGACCTGAACTGGTGAATTTGGATAAACAGGAAATGCCTGAGAAGAAAGGGTACAGAAAAAAAGATAATGGTAAACCATTTTTTAAAATTAGAAAGAAATATCATTCCCAATATAACAAAAATATAAAAACATTTTAAATATTGTTTTTCTATATAAAACAATGCAGAATTCTAAATGAATGACTGACTTTATGAGGAGAGAAATATTCTCTGTCAAATGCTACATTCGAGGTGTGAAGGGGGAACAAATGACAAAAGAATTGACTATTTCACTAGGCAAAGTTTACCTTACTTATACTGTGCACTTATTCACACCCAGAAGTTATTTCTTACACTGCTGATAAGGCTCCACTAACACAGATTTCACTGTAAGTTAAATGAATACATTTGCTATTTCCTCGTAAAAATCCTTTAGACCGTTTTGTATTAGACAATATTATAGGGTAATATATAGTTGTACAGATGTTATGGCTTCTTCTTTGATGTTATGGCTTTTTCTGTACTTCATTCTGAAAAACTAAGTGCAGTATATAATCCAATACTAGAGAAGAGAAAGTATAATGTCTTTTATGTTTCAATAAGTAGCTATTGTTTGAAAACGTATAGGTAGCAGCATACACGAATATACCCAGATTCAGTAATGGCCCACAGTAAATATTAGAACCAAGTAGGGCATTTTTTTCTAGCCATTGTTCAGAAAGGAAAAACAAGAAGTATACCCTACACATTTCAAGTACATGGAAATATGTCAATAAAGGAGAAATACTGAAGAACTATTTCACTACTATTTTGTTACTTTATTTTCCATCAAAGAAAATATCTTTTAAACTAAGACATAAATAAAATGAACTAAGAAGAATATAGATTTTTTATCACCAATAAGTTATAGAGTATGTCAAATCCTACTTTTAGTATCAATGTAACCCTTATCAGAGACGTTAGATGCCAGAAACTCAGGGGATAGTAAAACACATCAGAAATCTACTTATTCCAGAACCAGAATACATCCAGAAGTCAGCAAGTTACATGAGGATGCATCTGGAAATCATTGCAAATAAAGAATAGCTAGACGAACTGCTAAACTTAGAGAATAATAAATAGACAGACACATAAGGAGAGCTTTCATTCTCTTTAGCAACTGGTAATAGGGGGGCGGGGTGAAGAAGCTTGGGTGTTTTAGAGGCAATACTCTTTCTTCTTCCTATTCTTATTTAAGGGTAATTAACAGCATAACATTTGTTTCTCTTCAACAAATTTTCTATTGCTGGTAAAGCCAGATGCAGATTGTAGTCAGATACACGCTAATTCTAAAGCCACACTAACACTACCTTTCTTTGATTATATAGTCTATCATTATGTGGACCGGCCATTGCTTAAGCACACAAATACCTGAGAAAAAAAAGGCACTGTTGCTCCCACTGGAGTTTATAATTGGGTTAACAAGAAAGTAAAAAAAAAAAAAAAAGTAACAAAACATTAATATAAGAACCATTTAAAAATATTTAAAGGCATATATGAGTTGGAAAAAAATCAAGAATGAACAGGAGGCATATGTTTGGCTATTGCACTTAACCTGAATGACAACATAACACCATTGTTCCCCTACAGGTCACTATGGTGGCATCTCAAAAAAAAAAAAAAAAAAAAAAGAAAACCAAAACTATTAAAATATTCCTAGACATTTTCAAAAATACATGAGAAATACAATATTGAAGTACTTATCCTGTTGTGTCCTTTTTTATTATCATAAAAATAACAGAATGGAAAATGTAAGTACTTGATGTTTCCAGTCTCCGATGTTATCATTATTTTATATATAAAACTTCATCTTTTTCCAAATTTTCTAGAGTTGGCACTGTGGAAACCTCAAAGATACTAGCTCTTAGAATTTATTACCATACATATAATTATAGGTCACTGATACAGTCCTGTCTATGAAAAGATATCCAGAGAACTACTATCATGAAACAGTCAGCTAAAATAAAAATATAATTGGAATTCTGTACTCTATAAACTGGGTAATAATTTGATTTCATTCTATCTCCCTAAAAAATTTATGAAAGTCAGTTTGGATGTTTCTTTCAGCTATTTGACAACAAAGATGAAAACTACATCCTGAAATACAGAAGGGACACCAAACCTCAGAAAACTGTTCTACAGAAACGTTATTGCCAAGTATATTGTTGTCAAAATATTACTCCATTACTTCTAAATAATACAGAGGTCTTCATTCTAGATTGATTCTAAGTGTTTTCTTAAATTTTAGGTACACTTCACTAGTTTAAAATGACCAACTATTCGGGCAATTAGTGTAAACACGTTAAAGGCCTTGATAATATGTGAAAGTAAATCATTTTACACCTTCTTACATTACCTGATTATTATATACAGGCAACTGATATCCAGTAGTGACCTGAACTGGTGAATTTGGATAAACAGGAAATGCCTGAAAATAAAGAGCACAGAAAAAAAGAAAATGGTAAACCATTTTTTAAAATTAGAAAGAAATATCATTCCCAATATAACAAAAATATAAAAACATTTTAAATATTGTTTTTCTATATAAAACAATGCAGAATTCTAAATGAATGACTGACTTTATGAAGAGAGAAATATTCTCTGTCAAATGCTACATTTGAGGTGTGAAGGGGGAACAAATGACAAAAGAATTGACTATTTCACCAGGCAAAGTTTACCTTACTTATACTGTGCACTTATTCACACCCAGAAGTTATTTCTTACACTGCTGATAAGGCTCCATTAACACAGATTTCACTGTAAGTTAAATGAATACATTTGCTATTTCCTCGTAAAAATCCTTCTAGCCTGTTTTGTATTAGACAATATTATAGGGTAAATTGTAGTTGTACAGATGTTATGGCTTCTTCTGTGATGTTATGGCTTTTCCTGTACTTCCTTCTGAAAAGCTAAGTGCAGTATATAATCCAATACTAGAGAAGAGAAAGTATAATGTCTTATATGTTTCAGTAAGTAGCTATTGTTTGAAAACGTATAGGTAGCAACATACATGAATATACCCAGATTCAGAAATGGCCCACAGTAAATGTTAGAATCAAGTAGGATATTTTCTTCTAGCCATTGTTCAGAAAGGAAAAAGAAGAAGAGGTATACCCTACACATTTCAAGTACATGGGAATATGTCAATAAAGGAGAAATACTGAAGAACTATTTCACTACTATTTTGTTACTTTATTTTCCATCAAAGAAAATATCTTTTAAACTAAGACATAAATAAAAGGAACTAAGAAGAATATAGACATTTTTTATCACCAATAAAAGTACTCCATTACTTCTAAATAATACAGAGGTCTTCATTCTAGACTAATTCTAAGTGTTTTCTTAAATTTTAGGTACACTTCACTAGCTTGAAATGACCAACTATTCAGGCAATTTGTATAAACAGGTTAAAGGCCTCGATAATACGTGAAAGCAAATCATTTTAGTCATTCTTACATTACCTGATAATTATGTACAGGCAACTGATATCCAGTAGTGACCTGAACTGTTGAATTTGGATAAATAGGAAATGCCTGAAAATAAAGGGTACAGAAAAAAGGAAAATGATAATTCAATTTTTAATATTAGAAAGAAATATCATTCCCAATATAAAAAAAATAAAAACTTTTAAATATTGCTTTTCTATATAAAACTGCAGATTTCTAAATGAATGACTGACGTTATGAAGAAAGAATTATTCTCTGTCAAGTGCTACATTTTGGGTATGAAGGGGGAACAAACGACAAAAGAATTGACTATTTCACCAGGCAAATTTTACCTTACTTATATTGTGTACTTAGGCCCACCCAGATGCTATGTCTTACACTGGTGATAAGGCTGCATTAAGACAGATTTCAATGTAAGTTAAATTAATACATTTGCTATTTCCCTGTAGAAACACTTCTAGACTGATTTGTATTTGACAATAAGGTAATATGGTAGTTTTACAGATGTTATGGATTTTTCTGTACTTCACATTGGAATAACTAATACAGTATATAATCCACAACTGGAAAAGCGACAGTATAATGACTGTTATGTTTCAATAAATACTTATTCTTTGAAAACATATAGATAGCAGCATACATGAACACACCCAGATTGAAGTCATGGCTCACAGTAAATGCTAGTTAACAAGTCAGGATTTTTTCTAGCTATTCCCCAGAGAAGGAAAAAAAGAAGACAGGTATACCTTACATGTTTCAAGTACATGGAAAATGTCAACAAATGAGAGGCACTGAAGAACTATTTCACTACTATTTTGTTACTTTATTTTCCATTCGAGAAAAATGTGTCTTTTAAACACATAAATAGAACGAATGAAGAAGAAAATAAACATTATTTATCACCAATAAGTGAAGAGTATATCAAATCCGACTTTAAATATCAAAGCAATCAGCATCAGAGAAATTACATGCCAGAAACTCACAAGATTTACAGGTAGAGTAAAACAAATCAGAAATCTACCCATTTCAGAACCAGAATATATCCAGAAGTTAGTAATTTATACGAGGCGGCAACTGGAAATCATTTCAAATAAAGAATAGTTAGATAAATTGCTAAACTCACAGAAGAATAAAGTAGGCAGACACATAAGGAGAGCTCTTTTCACATATTTTAGGAACTAGTTAAATGGGGGAAAGCAGCTCAGGGGTTATAGCGGTAATACTCTTTTTAATCCTATTCTTATTTAAGAGCAATTAAGAGCAAAACATTTCTGTTTCTCTTTGTCAAATATTTTATGGCTGGTAAATCCAGATGCAGAGTCTAATCAGATACATGTTATTCTAAAGCAAAATTAATACTACCTTTCTTAGATAAAGCCACATTAGGATGATCTTTCTCAGATTAAATAGTCTATTAACAAGTAACTGAACACTTATCATTATGTGGATAAGCAATTGCTTAAGCATACAAAAACCTGAGAGACAATAAGGCACTGTTGCTCCCATGGGAGATTATAATTGGCTTAAAAAGACAGTAACAAAATGTAACATAGTAATATAAAGAACCTTCTAAATTTTTTATAGGCATACATGACATGTAAAAATCAAGAAAGAAGAGGAAGTATATGTTTCCCTAATTCGCTTTACCAGCGGTACAACATAACTCCTTTGCTCCCCAAAAGGCCAGTGTAGTGGAATCTTTAAAAAAAAAAAAAAAAAAAAAAAAGAAAAGGTAACCAAAATTACTCAAATATTCCAACGCATTTTCAAAAACAAGAGATGCGTAATACTGAAGTATTTATCATGATGGTTCCTTTGTTATAATAAAATAAACAGAATAAACAGAATAAAATAAAATAAACAGAATAAAATAAACAGAATAAATAAAATAAACAGAATAGAAAAAAGACGTACTTCCCTGAAGTTCTTGTTGTTACTTCTATACATATAACCTCATTTTTTCCCTAATTTTCTGGAGATGGCATTGTGGAACTCTCAGTGTTCCTTGAATTTATTACCAAAGATATGATTATGAGTCACAGATACAGTCATATAGTTGAAAAAAGACCCCGAGAACTACTACCGTGAAGTAGGCAAACTAAAATAAAATTATAATTGGAATTCTGTGCTACAAGAATTAGCTAATAATTTTATTTTACTCTATCTCCCTTAAAAACTGGAGAAAGTCACGATGAATATTTCAGCTCTTTAACAGCAAAGATAAAAAATACATGCTGAAACAAAGAAGGGAACACCAAATCTCAGAAAACTATTCAACAGGAAAGTTATTCCTAATTATATTGCTGTAAAAATATTATTTCATCACTTCTAAGTAATACAGAGGTCTTCATTACACTAATTTAAGTGTTTTCTTAAATTTTAGGTACATTTTACTAGTTTAAAATGAAAATTATTCAGGCAATTTGTATAAACAAGTTGAAGGCCTCAACAGTATCTGAAAGTAAATCATTTGACTTCCTAGTCAATTACCTGATAATTATATACAGCCAACTGATTCCCAGTGATGACTGCACCTGGTGGATTTGGACAAGTAGGATATGCCTGAAAATAAAGTTTACAGAAATAATGGATTAATATGGTAAAACATTTTTTTAAATTAGAATTATCATTCCCAATATAACAAAAATATGAAAAACTTTAAAATATTATTTTTCTATACACAGCAATACAGAATTCTAAATGAAGAACTGACTTTATTAAGAAAGAAATATTCTCTGTCAAGTGCCACCATTTAGGTGGCAAGGGGGAACAGACAAATGACAAAAGAAGTGATTATTTCACCAGGCAAAGTTTACCTTATTTATACTGTGTACATATGCCCACCCAGAAATTATTTCTTATACTGCTGCTAAGGCTCTATTAAGATAGATTTCAACCTAAGTTAAATTAATACATTTACTATTTATTTGGCAAAATACTTTGACTGATTTGTAATTGCATAATATTATAGGGTAATATTGTAGTTCTTCTATAGATGTTATGGCTATCTCTGTACTTCATTTCCAAAAACTAAGGGCAGTATATAATCCACAACTGGAAAAGAGACAGTATAAAGTCTTCAATGTTTCAATAAATACTTAACCAGTTGAAAACATACAAGCAGCAGCATGCATGAATACACCCAGATTCAGTAATGGCTCACAATAAATGTCAGAAACAAGTAGACCTTTTTTTTCCAGCCATTGTTCAGCGAAGGAAAAAGAAGAGGTATAACTCACAGGTTTAAAATACATGGAAAATAAGAAACTGAAGAACTATTTCACTATTATTTGGTTACCTTATTTTCCATCAAAGAAAATGTCTTTTAACTAAGACATGAAAAAAATGGACTAAGAAGAAAATAAACATTATTGATCACCAAAAAGTGACATAGTATGTCAAATCCTACGGTAAATATCAAAGCAACCAGCATCAGAGATATTACATGCCAGAAATTCACAAGATTTACAGATAGACTAAAACAGATCAGAAATCTACCCCATTTCAGAACCAGAATATATCCAGAAGTCACCAATTTATATGAGGAGGCATCTGGAAATCACTGCAACTAAACAGTAGCTAGATTAACTGCTAAGCTTAGAGAAAAACAAACTAGGCAGACAAGTAAAGAGAGCTGTCTCCAAATACTTTAGGAAAAAGCTATATGGGGTGAAAATGGAAGACACAGGAAGAGATTTGTTCATATATCTACAGAGGTCATTTCTAAGAGAAAGACTTACAAAGTATATTAAAGATTTCTAGCTCATATAACGAACGCTAAGAATAAGAAATTTCTAACAACAGTAGTAAATTTCCCATCACCCAGAGTACTCAAACAGGGATTCTATTGCCACTTACTAGGGAAAGTGTAGATACAATTCCACAGAGGGTACAATGACTACGATAAACAAGAGAACAGGAACGTAAGCAGTTCTCACCTGAACATACTGAGTTACAGCATTCAGTGTTATTGGGGGCTGCAGGTAATTTTCAGCGTTTGGATTACTCCAGACATTCTGAAACTGTGGTGGAGGAGGAGGATTAAATACCAAAGGACGTGGCTGCACATGACGAGCACCTTATAAAAAGCAAGAATAAAAAGCATAGTTTTAGTTATTTGAAAAGCTACACGTGTCAAAAAATAACAATTACTTTTCCTACTCACATAATTTTTGTTTCCTGATTGCAGGGCCCAGCTTCAGCTTTTTACCATGGAAATGTATCTGTGACTGAAAATAAAACAATAACAAAATGAGAATCAATTTTCAAGTCTTATTTCCAAGACCTGGGTAAATACCTAAAGCCTTCTAAAGTTCCTATTAACAGAGAAGATCAGTGACAACTACACACCAAATTAAAGTTGGTCACCCTGAAGCTACCTTATTTACCCTTACTACTCTAATCAGTATCAAGAAGCATTAAGTGAAAGTCAATCAGAAACCTTTCATCACCCTATCTCCAACCCTTCCTGTCTGTAGTTCATGAACCTAGGTGACCAGTCAAAAATAAACAGGATCTAACAAGTTATGTGAGGTTACTCTAAGTTTCGGTTTTGAATAGAAAGTGTATCATATCATTCTCCAAATTTTACACAACACTGAGTATATCACTAAGTCTAAATGTCGTATCAATAAAATAAACAAGAGATTTTTTATTAGATTACTCACTTCTATTATCTTCTGGACATCCACGTCATTAAAAAAGGAAACAAATCCATAGCTATAAAGGCAGAGAAAAGGTGAAGTATAAAATAATTAGCATACAGTACATGGTCCAGAACTTCTACTATTCTATATACAGAAGGGATTATGACAAAAGATGAGTAATACATCATGATAAGTATTTGTTAAGATGTACACGACAGATCCTCTGCAAATACTACCTTTTCTTAAGCGGTACTATGTTAAAGTGTGCTAAGATTAGGGCAGTGTGAAAACTCTACTGATTAACAAAAAATTCATTATCTGTGAACCTGAATTTCACTTACTATCTAAGATAAGGTGGTTAAAATTTAAGATACTGTGCAGCGTATGAAGAAAACAATTATTTGAGAAAAATGATTAATTCATTTGTACAAAATAAAAATTGGGGATATTTAAAAACAAACATTAGAAAAATGATGAAATAAAAGAGCTGGTAATAACATGTTATCTCCTACATGAAAGAAATCAACAACGTAAAAAATTTCATTTACACCAGTGTCAGAATATCAGTTTTGAAGTCGTCTCTGATACCTATAGGTGACTAGAGTTCAGATATTTTTGATAAAATTACTCACCCTTTGGACACACCCGTTCGATCTGTGATTATCTTCACTTCTTTCACTGAACCGTATCTACCAAAGTAGCTTCTAATCTCAGTTTCATCCATCTATGGAAAAGAATTGAACGTCAAGAGTAAGAAGAGCATTCAAAAATTTCTACTTCACCACAACTTTACTACCATAAGGTGAAAATTTCTCCCCACATTTATCCCCAAACGATGAGTGGTTCTTTGTCAAAGATATTTTTAGGGCCAGGCACAGTGGTTCAAGACTGTAATCCCAGCACTTTGGGAGGCCAAGACGGGTGGATCACGAGGTCAGGAGATCGAGACCATCCTGGCTAACCCGGTGAAACCCCATCTCTATTTAAAAAAAAACAAAAAGCTACCCGGGCAAGGTGGCGGGCACCTGTAGTCCCAGCTACTCGGGAGGCTGAGGGAGAAGAACGGCATAAACCCGGGAGGCGGAGCTTGCAGTGAACTGAGATCCGGCCACTGCACTCCAGCCTAGGAGACAGAACAAGACTGCGTCTCAAAAAAAAAAAAAAAAAAAAAGAAAAGATATTTTTAGTACCAATGGGTCAAATGTAAAACCAATTCTAAACCTCCATGAAATACACACACAAAAAAAATTACATCAGTAACAAGGCCCAAATCCCATTGTTCATAATGTATTTTAAGATAAAAATGAAGTATGAATACAATACCCTATCATCAATTCCACCAACAAAAACAGTGTTTGGCATGATTTTGCCTTCTGGTAAAACATGGCCGTGGCTAGCTGCAGCTGATGCAGACTGGGTGCTGGTCTCTCTGGAGATGGTTGAGTTTGGAGTCTCAGGATTTGCAGCAGACTGTAATTTGGAAAGTAAACATCATAATTACATACATAGGCAAAACCCAAACATGATGTGAAATACAATTTTTGTATTTTAAGTATAAAATATTTTATATAGATTACTTTCACTGTAAATTAGTCACCAGTGCCGTTTAGTTCAGGCTCCGGATTTAAACTAATCAGAGTACAACAGCATGGAATTTTAACCAAAGCATATAGCACTTTCTTAAACCCAGTGCCACTCATCACCGAGTTTTGTACAATGCTGTGGAAGAATACTCATTTGGTATTTGTGAAAATACTATGTGAATTAGTTAAAATAACTAGAAAGTTCAGATTTTTAAAACTTAGTTACTAAAATCATCCTGTTCTGTAAACATAAACTACTTTCTACTTTACTGACTAGACTAAGGATAAATCTGAAAACAAAAAAGCCACACCGAAAAGAAAGTAAGCCTCAAAGTTTTAAACCAATTTGTCTTGCTTTGCCTTTTTCACCAAAATTAACATGAGTTTTTATAATGTTAACACTCCGTGTATTCGTATGCCTGCTTTACTTTGGAAATGGATCACAGAAACATTACTTGCTCAGATGTCACAGCTCCTTCTAAAAAAAGGGTTATAATCCTCCTCCCTAACGCTAGGGTGTTCAAAGCACCTTTGAAATCACGTTTTTCTTCCTAAGTAACACCAAATTGTCCAATGGTAATTCTAATTTTCACAATGGACTGACGGATATAAATGATACCATCTTTATTTTCAGATAAAAAAACCACATACATATAACTCATTAATTTTCTAGGTTCTGATCAGAGCTGTCTTTATACTTTCCACAGCAGACTCTAACGTCAATGAAAAATTTTCTGAAGTAGTATTCATAAGTACTATACATGTTGGAGAAACAATATGGCATAGTGAAACAAAAATTAACTTAGCCAGGAGATCTAAGTTTATGTCCCTTACAGGTAAGTGGTTATAAGCCGCTGACTTGCCAGCTGTGTATCTCTGGGAAAACTGCTTTGAGAATGAAACGAGGTAACTTCTGTAAATTCATTTTGTACATATAAAGTGGTAAAAGTGGTATGTCAGTGTAGGTTAGTGTCCTGTTATTTGAATTTATTTTCAGTAGATTATTTTTCAAGTTTCTTTTTAGGCTTTACTATTTTAGCTGACTTATTTTGAAGAAATTTTAATTAAGAACTAATGGAAACATCAGGAAATTGTGACACATCATTAATTTAAAATCATTGGTGAAGTGCCTGTTGACTATAAAAAGTACAAAAGGCTGTAAAGAGTAAGTTATTACACATATACCTGTTTGAAAGAAAACAAAAGAAACTGTGTATCCTTTTAAAAAGCACAGTGATGTTACAGAAGTTAATAAGAAAGTAAGAGTTCCTGCTTTGTTAATTAGATGCTAGAAGTTACTGATTCTACGCAGCTTTACTAGTGATGAAATCTAGGTTGTCAAATCAACGAAAGCCGAGTTTACTGCTTTTCTCTATTCTTTTGGGCTTGTACTTGCTATTCAGGGTTTGTAACTAATTCCTTATTCTTTCCTTTAATAGGGCCATTTCATGACAATGATGTGGAAGAAAAATTTAAAAAACGATTTCTAAAAATCTTCCTTTTCTAAAAACGTCTTACCTTACTGTTTTTCTAAATGGTATTAAGCTGCATTATCTTGGACTGCTGGGAACCTGATTAGATTTCCCTTCCCTACAATTTACCAATCTCTTCTCAGTTCATTCAGAAATCCCAAACAGAATTAAAAAAAAAAAAGAAATTCTGAAGTTCTTGTAGTTTCTTTTTCTCCTTTTCAATTCCCCCTTCATTTGTGGATGAATTTTGGATATGTTTGCCTTTGATAAACAAGCTATATTACAGTAGTGTCTCTGCACCATAGTGTCTGGATGTATTTTAATTGAGAAGTGTAACATCTGGCACAAAACTGTGTCAGATTATGAGAGGATATGGAAATGTACTGATTCTCAACTGGGGAAGATTTTTGAGTCCCAGGGGCAATTAGCGATGTTCAGAGATTGGCTGTCACAACTGAGATGTATTCCTGGAATCTGCTGGGCTGAAGGGCCAGGGATACTACTGCACATCCTATAACGTAAGGACAGCCTCCTACAATAAGGAATTATTTGGTCCAAAATTTGAAAAGGGTGTGGTTAAGAGACCTTGTGACAGTGCCACAGGAATTGTAGAGGAAAATTGTTGTTTGGGAAGGACCTGATTTCCACTGTTCAGTAAAGTAAATCTTTTCATGACCTAAGTTTCAGCTTCCTTGCTTGAAAATGAACGGTTGGGAAAAGATCTGGGGTCTCTTCTGATTCTCATACTCTACACAATTGTAAAATGGATACTGGAAACAACAGTGGTTTGGTAAAGAGGAAAAAGGGCATTTGATATTGTAAGAAATTTGACTTTAGCTTGGATCTTGCAAACTGGCTGCCTGCTTAACTGGAATCCTACACACAAAATTCACCGAATCACTTTAAAAGCACCGTAACATTTTAAATTAAGGAAGTTACCATCATGTCCTAGTACTCAGCCAGCAGGCTGCACTCAAAGCTAGCAAAGTAAGCAATGTACTTCAATTTTTGCTTCATTTTTACCATGGCTTGATTAGCATGAACTGTTCAATTCCTACTGTGTGTGTATTAATACATACTTACATAATATACAATAAAAAATCTACAATCAATAGACTAGCTTTGGTTAGTTTTAAACTATGATCAAAAATATAAATGAATGCTTAGGAAAAGCAAAAGTTTCATTTTAAAGACAGTATTATCGCAACCGTCAATAGCATCCTGAAAACAAACTGCATTAAAGAAATAATTCTCTTAATCATATCTTCAAGTGAGTTGGCAAATTTTGAAATGAGAAATGTTGGATTAGTAAACGGCGTGAGCTTCAAGACTATCATATACAGAACTCTCATTGCTCTTAGAGCAAATATATTCCTTGTTATATGTGGACAACAAAGTGACAAAATGGCTAAAAGCTGGAAAAAAATTATCATTATTTAAACTCCTAGGATGTCAGCTCCTTTGCCAGTATTACCTAATTCAATTACTATGTGAACATGGAAGCGAACTGATATTTAGACAAACTGACCAGGAAAAAGTCTGTCATTAGTAGTCATCAAAGTTACACTCACAGCAACAGGAAGAGGAGCAAATAAAGAGCATGCTAAAGTTAAGAAAACATGACGTGAAAATCAGAATCAAAACTTTCTGTAAATCCAAAAGCAGATTCTCGGGGAGCGGGGGTGTGGAGGATGAAATTCAAGCAATAAACAATCCTGGCAAAACTAAGCAAGAAAAAGAAAGAAAGCAAAAGTATATACGAGACCTGCAAAATGGGTTGTGGCCACAGATAACAAAAGAATACTATGCATGAACTCTATATTCAAAGAGGAAAAAAGTATTTCTCAACACATTTTACAAAGCTAAAAGCATATAAGTAACAAAGCCTCATCCAGATGATCCATCCCTGCCCTCAACACAAATGCGAATTTCCAGCAGCACATAAAGAGTTTAAGTTTATATTGGGAATGCAAGAATACTCCATTCGCAGGATACGTTACTTTATCACTGAGTATCATCTGATAAAATACAGCATTCATTTTTAAATTATTTAAAAACCCAAGTGAAACAGAAATAGAGGAATCTTATTTTCTAGCAATCTAATTCTACCGTATCATGAAACTTGCAAGTGAAATAGTTGAGTCAACTCAACTGAAATTAGGAATAAGATAAGGGTACCAGGGTACCTCCTTATTACTATTACATATTTGTTCCACTATGTATGACAAAAGTCAATACTAATACAAAGCTTTTATCAATAAAAACAAAATTAAAAAGGTGATTTAAAAAGCTAACAATCAATGGTCAACTTCACTGATGATTTTAAAAAGTGCACATCAACATAATGTAATATTTTCCAGCCATTAGGCTGACAATTTAATAAATCCTAATAACTTTCACTGGAATGGGTGTGGAAAAGACAGCACTCTAAACACCATCAGTGAGAAAATACTACTACATGATTTACCAAGAGTTCCATGGAAAAGGTATATTATAATTTGATAGGCAGGGATACTCACCAGTATAATAACGAGCAGAATTTGTTATAAAGTTGTCATAAAAGGGCAAAGTGCTTTCACCTAGCAATTCCACTCATAGCAATTAATCTCAAGTAATTCATAGGACAAGGGTGCCAACATATTTACACAAAGATATTCATAGCATTTGTTATTTTTTTTGAGACTGAGTCTCCCTTTGTTGCCTAGGCTGGAGTGCAGTGGCAGGATCTCAGCTCATGGCAATCTGCTTCCCAGGATCAAGTGATTCTGCTGCCTCAGCCCCCCGAGTAGTTGGGATTATAAGTGTGCACCACCCCACCTGGCTAAGTATTATAGTTTTTAGTAGACACAGAAAACAAAAATCATTCAAATACTCCTTCACGTTTTAAAAAACACATGAGATACACAATATTTCTGAAGTACATATTCTGGTTCCTTTCATTTGTTATTATAACAAAAGAAACAGAACAGGAAAAAAAACTACTTTAGGTTTCCAATCCCTGACGTTCTTGTTACTTCTATATGCAAAACCTCACCTCTTACCCAATTTTCTGGGGTTGGTATCATGGAATCTCCAAGATATTTGTTATTTGAATTTATTACCATAGATACGATTATGGGTCATATATATAGTCGTACCTATAAAAACAGACCCAGAGAACTACTATCATGAAGCAGCCAGCTAAAATAAAAATGTAATTCAAATTCTGTGCTCTAAAAATCAGGTAGTAATTTTATTTCACTCCGTCTCTCTAAAAAATTGATAAAAGTCAGTCTGGATGTTTTAGCTATTTGACAGCAAAGATGAAAATATACCATGCTACAATATAGAAGGGGACACCAAGTCTCAAAAAAACTATTCTATAGTAAAGTTATTGCTAAGTGCATTCCTGTCAAAATATTAGTCAATTACTTCTAAGTAATACAGAGGTCTTCATTCTAGACTAATTCTAAGTGTTTTCTTAAATTTTAGGTACCTTTCACTAATTTAAAATAGCAAACTATTCAAGCAATTTGTATAAACAAAGGCCTCAATAATACCTGAAAGTAAATCATTTTACTCCCTCTTAAACTACCTGATAATTATATACAGGTAAATGATATCTACTGATGACCTGAACTGCTGAATGTGGATAAGGAGGACATGCCTAAAAATAAAAGTTTTCCAGTAAGAACAAATGAATACAGTAAAATATTTTGTTAATTAGAAATACCATTCCCAAAATAAAAAAATATGAAAAACTTTAAAACATTGTTTTCTATATACAGCATTGCAGAATTCCAAATGAGTGACTGATTTTATGAAGAAAGAAATATTCTGTGAATTGCTACCCTTTGGGTGGGGAGGGGGAACAGACAAATGACAAAAGAGACTATTTCACCAGACAAGTTGTCCTTATTTATCCTGTGTACTTTTATGCCCACCCAGAAGTTATTTCTTATGCTGGTGATGAGCCTCTATTTAAGACAAATTTCAATGTAAGTCAAATTAACACATTTGCTATCTCTTGGTTAAAATATTTGTAAGGAGTTTTGTATTTGACAATACTATAGGGTAATATGAAGTTCTCTTACAAATATTATTATTTTTTCTGTACTTCACTTCGAAAAACTAAGGGGAGAATATACCTCAAAACTGGAAAAGAGACAGTATAATGTCTTCTATCTTTCAATAAATACTTACTGATTGAAAACGTATAGGCAGCAGCACACATGAACACATCCAGATTAAGTAATGGCTCACAGTAAATGTTAGAAACAAGGAAGGCTTTTTTTCTAGCCATCGTTCAGAGAAAAAAAAGAAGCAGAGATATACCCTACATGTTTAAAGTACACGGAAAATGTCAACAAATGGGAGACACTGAAGAACTATTTCATTACTATTTTGTGACTTCATTTTCCATTGAAGAAAGTGTCTTTTAAACTAAGACATAAATAAAACAAGCTAAAAAGAAAATAAACATTACTTATCACCAATAAGTGACAAGAGTATGTCAAATCCTACTTTACATATCAAAGTGACCAGGATCAGAGAAATTAGAGGCCAGGAACTCACAGGATTTATAAATACAGTAAAACACATGAGAAATCTACCCATTCCACAACCAGAATATATCCAGAAGTCAGCAATCTATATGAGGAAGCATCTGGAAATCACTGCAAGAACAGAACAGCTGGATGTACTGCTAACCTTAGAGAAGAATAAACTAGACAGACACATGAAGACAGCTGCTTTCAAATATTTTCAGAACTAGTTCCTATGGGGGGAAAGCAGCTCAGGTGTTTTAGAAGTAATACATTTTTCTTCCTGTCCTTATTTAATAAGAGTAATTAACAGCAAAACATTTGTTTCTCTTCAACAATTTTTTTTTTTTTTTTTTTTTTTTTTTTACGGATGGTAAACCCAGAGACAGATTCCAGGAAGATACACGCTCATTTTAAGGTCATATTAATACCACCTTTCATGGCTTATATAGTCTATCAAGTAACTGAACTCTTATCATTATGTGGAACAGCCATTGCTTAAGCATGCAAAATCCTAAGAGAGAAAAAGGCACTGTTGCTCCCATAGGAGTTTATCATTGGGTGAAAACGAAAGTAACAGAACATACCACACTAATATAAAGAACGATTCAAAAATATTTATAGGCATATGTGACATAGAAAAAAATCCAGAAAAAACAGGGAGTGTATGTTTGGCACATTCACTTTACTGGAGGTATAGCATAACTCCTTTGCTCCCCAACAGGCCACTGTGGAAGCATCTTAAAAAAACAAAAAGGAAACCAAAATTATTCAGGTATTAGTTTTCAATATCTACACATTTTCAAAAACACATGAGATAGACAATATTGAAGTACTTCTCATGATGGCTCTTTGGTTAATAAAAAAAAAATATGTAAGAAAAAAGTAGTACTTTAGTTTTCTCATCCCTGAAATTCTTGTTGTTATTTCTACATATAAAACCTCATCTCTTCCCTGAGTTTCTGCAGATGGCATTGTGGAACTCGCAAAGATATTAATTCTTTGATTTGTTACCAGAGATATGATTGTGGGCCATAGATACAGTCGTATCATTGGAAAGAGACCCAGAGAACTACTATCATGAAGCAGCAAGCTAAAATAAAAATACGATCGGAATTGTGTGCTCCAAGAATTGGGTAATGGTTTTAGTTCACTCCCTGTCTCTACAAAATTCATGAAAGTCAGTCTGGATGTTTCAGCTCTTTGACAGCAAAGATTAAAAAAAAAAAAATACATGCTGAAAGAAAGAGGGGAACACCAAATCTCAGAAAACTGTTCTACAGAAAAGTTAATGCTAAGTATATTGTAAAAATATTTATTTCATCACTTCTAAATAATACAGTGGACTTCATTACACGAATTCTAAGTGTTTTCTTAAATTTTAGGTACATTTCACTAGCTTAAAATGACGAATCATTCAAGCAATTTGTATAAGCAAGTTGAAGGCCTCAATAGTATCTGACAGTAAATCATTTTCCTCCCTCTTCAATTGCCCGATAATTTTACACAGGCAACTGATATCCAGTGATGACCACACCTGGTGAATTTGGATAAGTAGGCTATGCCTGAAAATAAAGTTGACAGAAAGAATGGGTTAATATGGTAAAACTTTTTAAAATTAGAAATAAATATCATTCCCAACATAACAAAAATATGAAAAGCTTTATCATTTTTCTAGGTAGAGCAATGCAGAATTCTAAATCAAGGACTGACTTTACGCAGGAAAAAATATTCTCGGTCAAATGCTACCCTTTGGGTCGGGAGGGAGAACAGACAAATGACAAAAGAAGTGACTATTTCACCAGGCAAAGTTTACCTTATTTATACTATGTACTTATGCCCACACAGAAGTTATTTCTTACACTGGTGATTAGGCTCCATTAGTATAGATTTCAACTTAAGCTGAATTAATACATTTGCTATTTCTTTGGCAAAATACTTCTAGATCTTGTGTATTTGACAATAGTATAGGGTAATATTGCAGTTCTTCTACAGATATTATGGCTTTCTCTGTACTTTATTACCAAAAACTAATGGCAGTAGATAATCCACAACTGGAAAAGACACAGTATAATGTCTTCTATTTTTCAATAAACACCTACTAATTGAAAACATACAGATAACAGCACACATGAATACACCCAGATTCAATAATGGCTCATAGTACATGTTAGAAACAAGTAGAGCTTTTTTTCTAGTCATTGTTCAGAGAAGGAAAAAGAAGAAGTGGTATACCCTACACGTTTCAAGACAATGGAAAATTTTCAAAAAATGAGAGACTCCGAAAAACTATTTCACTACTATTTTGTTACATTATTTTCCATCAATGAAAATATCTTTTAAACTAATGCATAAACAGAACGAAAGAAGAAGAAAATAAACGTTACTGATCACCAATGAGTGATAGAGTATGTCAAATCCTACTTTACATATCAAAGCAACCAGCATCAGAAAAATTACATGCCAGAAACTCATGAGATTTACAGAGAGAGTAAAATAGGTCAGAAATCTAACCATTTCAAAACCAGAATATATCCAGTCACCAATTTATATGAGAAGGGCATCTGGAAATCACTCTAAGTACAGACTAGCTAGATTAATTGCTAAACTTAGAAAACAATAAACTATGTAGACATATAAGGAGAGCTGCTTCCAAATTCTACTTTAGGTTTAATTATATGGGGTGAAAAAGGAAGACATAAAAAGAGATTTGTTCATGTGTCTACAGAGGTCATTTCTAAGAGAACGACTTACAAAGCATATTGAAGGTTTTTAGCTCATATAACAAACACTAAGAATAAGAAATTTCTAACAACAGTAGTAAATTTCCCATCACCCAGAGTACTCAAACAGGGATTCTATTGCCACTTACTAGGGAAAGTGTAGATACAATTCCACAGAGGGTACAATGACTACGATAAACAAGAGAACAGGAACGTAAGCAGTTCTCACCTGAACATACTGAGTTACAGGATTCAGCGTTATTGGGGGCTGCAGGTAATTTTCAGCGTTTGGATTACTCCAGACATTCTGAAACTGTGGTGGAGGAGGAGGATTAAATACCAAAGGACGTCGCTGCACATGACGAGCACCTTATAAAAAGCAAGAATAAAAAGCCTAGTTTCAGTTATTTGAAAAGCTACACGTGTCAAAAAATAACAATTTCTTTTCCTACTCACATAATTTTTGTTTCCTGATTGCAGGGCCCAGCTTCAGCTTTTTACCATGGAAATGTATCTGTGACTGAAAATAAAACAGTAACAAAATGAGAATCAATTTTCAAGTCTTGACTTCCGAGACTTGGGTAAATACCTAAAGCCTTCCAAAGTTCCTATTATCAAAGAAGATCGGTGACAATTACACACCAAATTAAAGTTGGTCACCCTGAAGCTACCTTATTTACCCTTACTACTCTAATCAGTATCAACACGCATCAAGTGAAAGTCGATCAGTAACTTTTCATCACCCTATCTCCAACCCTTCCTGTCTGTAGTTCATGAACCTAGGTGACCAGTCAAAAATAAACAGGATCTAACAAGTTATGTGAGGTTACTCTAAGTTTCGGTTTTGAACAGAGAGTGTATCATATCGTTCTCCAATTTTACACAACACTGAGTATATCACTAAGACTAAATGTCGTATCAGTAAAATAAAAAAGAGATTTTCCTGTTAGATTACTTACTTCTACTATCTTTTGGACATCCACGTCATTAAAAAAGGAAACAAATCCATAGCTATAAAGGCAGAGAAAAGGTGAAGTATAAATACACCATCATAGAGTACATGATCCAGAAATTCTACTATTCCATATACATAAGGGATCATAACAAAAGATGAGTAATATACCACGATAAGTATTTGTTAAGATGTACATGACAGATCCTCTATAAATATTACTTTTTCTTAATTGGAACTATGTCAAAGTGTGCTAAGATTAGGGCAGTGTGAAAACTTCATTGATTAACAAAAAATTTATTATCTTTGAACATGAATTTCACTATCTAAGACAACGTGGTTAAAATTTAAGATACTGTGCAGCGTATGATGAAAACAATTATTTGAAAAAACTGATTATACACTTGTATGAAATAAAAATTGGAGACATTTAAAAACAAACAATAGAAAAATGACAAAATAAAAGAGCTGGTAATAACATTTTATCCCCTACATGAAAGAAATTAATGAGGCAAAAAATTTCATTTACACAAGTTTCAGAATATCAGTTTTGAAGTCTTCTCTGATACCTGTAGGTGACTAGACTTCAGATATTTTTGATAAAATTACTCACCCTTTGGACACACCAGTTCGATCCGTGATTATCTTCACTTTTTTCACTGAACCGTATCTACCAAAGTAGCTTCTAATCTCAGTTTCATCCATCTATGGAAAAGAATTGAACTTTAAGAGTAAAAATAGAGCATTCAAAAATTTCACTTTCACCATAACTTCAATACCATAAGGCAAAAATTTCTCCGCACATTTATCCCCAAATGAGTGGCTCTTTTTCAAAGATATTTTTAGTACCTATGGATCAAACGTAAAACCAATTCTAAACTTCCATGAAATACAAAAAACATTAAATCAATAACAGGGCTCAAATCCCATTGTTCATAATGTATTTTAAGATAAAAATGAAGTATGAATACAATACCCTATCATCAATTCCACCAACAAAAACAGTGTTTGGCATGATTTTGCCTTCTGGTAAAACATGGCCGTGGCTAGCTGCAGCTGATGCAGACTGGGTGCTGGTCTCTCTGGAGATGGTTGAGTTTGGAGTCTCAGGATTTGCAGCAGACTGTAATTTGGAAAGTAAACATCATAATTACATACATAGGCAAAACCCAAACATGATGTGAAATACAATTTTTGTATTTTAAGTATAAAATATTTTATATAGATTACTTTCACTGTAAATTAGTCACCAGTGCCGTTTAGTTCAGGCTCCGGATTTAAACTAATCAGAGTACAACAGCATGGAATTTTAACCAAAGCATATAGCACTTTCTTAAACCCAGTGCCACTCATCACCGAGTTTTGTACAATGCTGTGGAAGAATACTCATTTGGTATTTGTGAAAATACTATGTGAATTAGTTAAAATAACTAGAAAGTTCAGATTTTTAAAACTTAGTTACTAAAATCATCCTGTTCTGTAAACATAAACTACTTTCTACTTTACTGACTAGACTAAGGATAAATCTGAAAACAAAAAAGCCACACCGAAAAGAAAGTAAGCCTCAAAGTTTTAAACCAATTTGTCTTGCTTTGCCTTTTTCACCAAAATTAACATGAGTTTTTATAATGTTAACACTCCGTGTATTCGTATGCCTGCTTTACTTTGGAAATGGATCACAGAAACATTACTTGCTCAGATGTCACAGCTCCTTCTAAAAAAAGGGTTATAATCCTCCTCCCTAACGCTAGGGTGTTCAAAGCACCTTTGAAATCACGTTTTTCTTCCTAAGTAACACCAAATTGTCCAATGGTAATTCTAATTTTCACAATGGACTGACGGATATAAATGATACCATCTTTATTTTCAGATAAAAAAACCACATACATATAACTCATTAATTTTCTAGGTTCTGATCAGAGCTGTCTTTATACTTTCCACAGCAGACTCTAACGTCAATGAAAAATTTTCTGAAGTAGTATTCATAAGTACTATACATGTTGGAGAAACAATATGGCATAGTGAAACAAAAATTAACTTAGCCAGGAGATCTAAGTTTATGTCCCTTACAGGTAAGTGGTTATAAGCCGCTGACTTGCCAGCTGTGTATCTCTGGGAAAACTGCTTTGAGAATGAAACGAGGTAACTTCTGTAAATTCATTTTGTACATATAAAGTGGTAAAAGTGGTATGTCAGTGTAGGTTAGTGTCCTGTTATTTGAATTTATTTTCAGTAGATTATTTTTCAAGTTTCTTTTTAGGCTTTACTATTTTAGCTGACTTATTTTGAAGAAATTTTAATTAAGAACTAATGGAAACATCAGGAAATTGTGACACATCATTAATTTAAAATCATTGGTGAAGTGCCTGTTGACTATAAAAAGTACAAAAGGCTGTAAAGAGTAAGTTATTACACATATACCTGTTTGAAAGAAAACAAAAGAAACTGTGTATCCTTTTAAAAAGCACAGTGATGTTACAGAAGTTAATAAGAAAGTAAGAGTTCCTGCTTTGTTAATTAGATGCTAGAAGTTACTGATTCTACGCAGCTTTACTAGTGATGAAATCTAGGTTGTCAAATCAACGAAAGCCGAGTTTACTGCTTTTCTCTATTCTTTTGGGCTTGTACTTGCTATTCAGGGTTTGTAACTAATTCCTTATTCTTTCCTTTAATAGGGCCATTTCATGACAATGATGTGGAAGAAAAATTTAAAAAACGATTTCTAAAAATCTTCCTTTTCTAAAAACGTCTTACCTTACTGTTTTTCTAAATGGTATTAAGCTGCATTATCTTGGACTGCTGGGAACCTGATTAGATTTCCCTTCCCTACAATTTACCAATCTCTTCTCAGTTCATTCAGAAATCCCAAACAGAATTAAAAAAAAAAAAGAAATTCTGAAGTTCTTGTAGTTTCTTTTTCTCCTTTTCAATTCCCCCTTCATTTGTGGATGAATTTTGGATATGTTTGCCTTTGATAAACAAGCTATATTACAGTAGTGTCTCTGCACCATAGTGTCTGGATGTATTTTAATTGAGAAGTGTAACATCTGGCACAAAACTGTGTCAGATTATGAGAGGATATGGAAATGTACTGATTCTCAACTGGGGAAGATTTTTGAGTCCCAGGGGCAATTAGCGATGTTCAGAGATTGGCTGTCACAACTGAGATGTATTCCTGGAATCTGCTGGGCTGAAGGGCCAGGGATACTACTGCACATCCTATAACGTAAGGACAGCCTCCTACAATAAGGAATTATTTGGTCCAAAATTTGAAAAGGGTGTGGTTAAGAGACCTTGTGACAGTGCCACAGGAATTGTAGAGGAAAATTGTTGTTTGGGAAGGACCTGATTTCCACTGTTCAGTAAAGTAAATCTTTTCATGACCTAAGTTTCAGCTTCCTTGCTTGAAAATGAACGGTTGGGAAAAGATCTGGGGTCTCTTCTGATTCTCATACTCTACACAATTGTAAAATGGATACTGGAAACAACAGTGGTTTGGTAAAGAGGAAAAAGGGCATTTGATATTGTAAGAAATTTGACTTTAGCTTGGATCTTGCAAACTGGCTGCCTGCTTAACTGGAATCCTACACACAAAATTCACCGAATCACTTTAAAAGCACCGTAACATTTTAAATTAAGGAAGTTACCATCATGTCCTAGTACTCAGCCAGCAGGCTGCACTCAAAGCTAGCAAAGTAAGCAATGTACTTCAATTTTTGCTTCATTTTTACCATGGCTTGATTAGCATGAACTGTTCAATTCCTACTGTGTGTGTATTAATACATACTTACATAATATACAATAAAAAATCTACAATCAATAGACTAGCTTTGGTTAGTTTTAAACTATGATCAAAAATATAAATGAATGCTTAGGAAAAGCAAAAGTTTCATTTTAAAGACAGTATTATCGCAACCGTCAATAGCATCCTGAAAACAAACTGCATTAAAGAAATAATTCTCTTAATCATATCTTCAAGTGAGTTGGCAAATTTTGAAATGAGAAATGTTGGATTAGTAAACGGCGTGAGCTTCAAGACTATCATATACAGAACTCTCATTGCTCTTAGAGCAAATATATTCCTTGTTATATGTGGACAACAAAGTGACAAAATGGCTAAAAGCTGGAAAAAAATTATCATTATTTAAACTCCTAGGATGTCAGCTCCTTTGCCAGTATTACCTAATTCAATTACTATGTGAACATGGAAGCGAACTGATATTTAGACAAACTGACCAGGAAAAAGTCTGTCATTAGTAGTCATCAAAGTTACACTCACAGCAACAGGAAGAGGAGCAAATAAAGAGCATGCTAAAGTTAAGAAAACATGACGTGAAAATCAGAATCAAAACTTTCTGTAAATCCAAAAGCAGATTCTCGGGGAGCGGGGGTGTGGAGGATGAAATTCAAGCAATAAACAATCCTGGCAAAACTAAGCAAGAAAAAGAAAGAAAGCAAAAGTATATACGAGACCTGCAAAATGGGTTGTGGCCACAGATAACAAAAGAATACTATGCATGAACTCTATATTCAAAGAGGAAAAAAGTATTTCTCAACACATTTTACAAAGCTAAAAGCATATAAGTAACAAAGCCTCATCCAGATGATCCATCCCTGCCCTCAACACAAATGCGAATTTCCAGCAGCACATAAAGAGTTTAAGTTTATATTGGGAATGCAAGAATACTCCATTCGCAGGATACGTTACTTTATCACTGAGTATCATCTGATAAAATACAGCATTCATTTTTAAATTATTTAAAAACCCAAGTGAAACAGAAATAGAGGAATCTTATTTTCTAGCAATCTAATTCTACCGTATCATGAAACTTGCAAGTGAAATAGTTGAGTCAACTCAACTGAAATTAGGAATAAGATAAGGGTACCAGGGTACCTCCTTATTACTATTACATATTTGTTCCACTATGTATGACAAAAGTCAATACTAATACAAAGCTTTTATCAATAAAAACAAAATTAAAAAGGTGATTTAAAAAGCTAACAATCAATGGTCAACTTCACTGATGATTTTAAAAAGTGCACATCAACATAATGTAATATTTTCCAGCCATTAGGCTGACAATTTAATAAATCCTAATAACTTTCACTGGAATGGGTGTGGAAAAGACAGCACTCTAAACACCATCAGTGAGAAAATACTACTACATGATTTACCAAGAGTTCCATGGAAAAGGTATATTATAATTTGATAGGCAGGGATACTCACCAGTATAATAACGAGCAGAATTTGTTATAAAGTTGTCATAAAAGGGCAAAGTGCTTTCACCTAGCAATTCCACTCATAGCAATTAATCTCAAGTAATTCATAGGACAAGGGTGCCAACATATTTACACAAAGATATTCATAGCATTTGTTATTTTTTTTGAGACTGAGTCTCCCTTTGTTGCCTAGGCTGGAGTGCAGTGGCAGGATCTCAGCTCATGGCAATCTGCTTCCCAGGATCAAGTGATTCTGCTGCCTCAGCCCCCCGAGTAGTTGGGATTATAAGTGTGCACCACCCCACCTGGCTAAGTATTATAGTTTTTAGTAGACACAGAAAACAAAAATCATTCAAATACTCCTTCACGTTTTAAAAAACACATGAGATACACAATATTTCTGAAGTACATATTCTGGTTCCTTTCATTTGTTATTATAACAAAAGAAACAGAACAGGAAAAAAAACTACTTTAGGTGTCCAATTCCTGACGTTCTTGTTGTTACTTCGATATGAAAAACCACACCTCTTCTCCAGTTTTCTGGGGTTGGCATTGGGAAAATCTCAAAGATATTTATTTGAATTTATTACCATAGATACGATTATGGGTCATATATACAATCATACTTATGAAAACAGACCCAGAGAACTACTATCATGAAGCAGCAAGCTAAAATAAAAATACATTTGGAACTGTGTGCTCCAAGAACTGGGTTAACGGTTTTATTTCACTCTCTGTCTATACAAAATTCCTGAAAGTCAGTCTGGATGTTTCAGCTCTTTGACAGCAAAGATAAAAAAAAAAAATACATGCTGAAACAAAGAAGGGAACACCAAATCTCAGAAAACTGTTGTAGAGGAAAGTTAATGCTAGGTATATTGTTGTAAAAATGTAATTTCATCACTTCTAAACAATACAGAGGTCTTCACTACACTAATTCTAAGTGTTTTCTTAAATTTTAGGTACATTTCACTAGCTTAAAATGACGAATCATTCAAGCAATTTGTATAATCAAGTTGAAGGCCTCAATAGTATCTGACACTAAATCATTTTCCTCCCTTTTCAACTGCCCGATAATTATACACAGGCAACTGATATCCAATGATGACCGCGCCTGGTGAAATTAGATAAGTAGGATATGCCTGAAAATAAAGTTGACAGAAAGAATGGGTTAATGTGGTAAAACATTTTTTTAAATTAGAAAGAAACCTCATTCCCAACAGAACAAAAATATGAAAAACTTTAAACTATTATTTTTCTATATACAGCAATGCAGAATTCTAAATGGACTGACGTATGAAGAAAGAAATATTCTCGGTCAAATGCTACCCTTTGAGTCATGAGGTAGAACAGACAAATGACAAAAGAAGTGACTATTTCACCAGGCAAAGTTTACCTTATTTATACCGTGTGCATATGCCCACCCAGAAGTTATTTCTTACACTGTTAATAAGGCTCCCTTAGGATAGATTTCAACTTAAGCTAAATTAATACATTTGCTATTTCTTTGGCAAAATACTTCTAGATGTTGTGTATTTGATAATAGTATAGGGTAACACTGCAGTTCTTCTACAGATATTATGGCTTTCTCTGTACTTCATTACCAAAAACTAATGGCAGTAGATAATCCACAACTGGAAAAGAGACAGTAAAATGTCTTCTATTTTTCAATAAACATTCACTAATTGAAAACATACAGGTAGCAGCAATAGTGAATACACCCAGATTCAGTGATGGCTCACAGTACATGTTAGAAACAAGTAGAGCTTTTTTTCTAGCCATTGTTCAGAGAAGGAAAAAGAAGTGGTATGCCCTACACATTTCAAGTACATGGAAAATTTTCAACAAATGAGAGACTCCGAAAAACTATTTCACTACTATTTTGTTACCATATTTTCCATCAATGAAAATGTAATCCCAGCACTTTGGGAGGCCGAGACGGGCAGATCACGAGGTCAGGAGATCGAGACCATGCTGGCTAACATTGTGAAACCCCGTCTCTACTAAAAAATCCAAAAAAAAAAAAAAAAAATTAACCGGGCGAGGTGGCGGGCGCCTGTAGTCCCAGCTACTCGGAGGCTGAGGCAAGAGAATGGCGTGAACCCAGGAGGCGGAGCTTGCAGCTCCAGCCTGGGCGACACAGTGAGACTCCATCTCAAAAAAAAAAAAAAAAAAAAAAAGAAAATGTCTTTTAAACTAACGCATAAATAGAATGAAGAAGAAAATAAACGTTACTGATCACCAATGAGTGATAGAGTATGTCAAATCCTACTTTACATATCAAAGCAACCAGCATCAGAAAAATTACATGCCAGAAACTCATGAGATTTACCGAGAGAGTAAAATAGGTCAGAAATCTAACCATTCCAGAACCAGAATATATCCAGAAGTCACTAATGTATATGAGGAGGCATCTAGAATCACTGTAGGTACAGACTAGCTAGATTAATTGCTAAACTTAGAGAACAATAAACTATGTAGACATATAAGGAGAGCTGCTTCCAAATTCTACTTTAGGTTTAATTATATGGGGTGAAAAAGGAAGACATAAAAAGAGATTTGTTCATGTGTCTACAGAGGTCATTTCTAAGAGAACGACTTACAAAGCATATTGAAGGTTTTTAGCTCATATAACAAACACTAAGAATAAGAAATTTCTAACAACAGTAGTAAATTTCCCATCACCCAGAGTACTCAAACAGGGATTCTATTGCCACTTACTAGGGAAAGTGTAGATACAATTCCACAGAGGGTACAATGACTACGATAAACAAGAGAACAGGAACGTAAGCAGTTCTCACCTGAACATACTGAGTTACAGGATTCAGCGTTATTGGGGGCTGCAGGTAATTTTCAGCGTTTGGATTACTCCAGACATTCTGAAACTGTGGTGGAGGAGGAGGATTAAATACCAAAGGACGTCGCTGCACATGACGAGCACCTTATAAAAAGCAAGAATAAAAAGCCTAGTTTCAGTTATTTGAAAAGCTACACGTGTCAAAAAATAACAATTTCTTTTCCTACTCACATAATTTTTGTTTCCTGATTGCAGGGCCCAGCTTCAGCTTTTTACCATGGAAATGTATCTGTGACTGAAAATAAAACAGTAACAAAATGAGAATCAATTTTCAAGTCTTGACTTCCGAGACTTGGGTAAATACCTAAAGCCTTCCAAAGTTCCTATTATCAAAGAAGATCGGTGACAATTACACACCAAATTAAAGTTGGTCACCCTGAAGCTACCTTACTTACCCTTACTACTCTAATCAGTATCAACACGCATCAAGTGAAAGTCGATCAGAAACTTTTCATCACTCTATCTCCAACCCTTCCTGTCTGTAGTCCATGAACCTAGGTGACCAGTCAAAAATAAACAGGATCTAACAAGTTATGTGAGGTTACTCTAAGTTTCGGTTTTGAACAGAGAGTGTATCATATCGTTCTCCAATTTTACACAACACTGAGTATATCACTAAGACTAAATGTCGTATCAGTAAAATAAAAAAGAGATTTTCCTGTTAGATTACTTACTTCTACTATCTTCTGGACATCCACGTCATTAAAAAAGGAAACAAATCCATAGCTATAAAGGCAGAAGACAGATGAAGTATAAAATCACCATCATACAGCACATAGTCCAGAACTTCTACTATTCTATATACAGAAGGGATCATGACAAAAGATGAGTAATATACCACGATAGTGTTTGTTAAGATGTACATGACAAATCCTCCACAAATATTACTTTTCCTTAAGCGGAACTATGTCAAAGTGTGCTAAGATTAGGGCAGTGTGAAAACTTGATTGATTAACAAAAAATTCATTATCTGTGAACCTGAATTTCACTTACTATCTAAGACAAGGTTGCTAAAATTTGAGATACTGTGCAGCGTATGAAGAAAACAATTATTTGGAAAACTGATTAACTCATTTATATGAAATAAAAATTGGAGACATTTAAAAACAAACATTAGAAAAATGATGAAATAAAAAGAGCTGGCAATAACATTTCATCCCTTATATGAATGAAATCAACAATGCAAAAAATTTCATTTACACAAGTGTCAGAATATCAGTTAAAAGACATTTAAAAGCAAACATTAGAAAAATGATGAAATAGGCTGGGCACAGTGGCTCACACGTGTAATTCCAGCACTCTGGGAACAGCAGGCGGGCGGATCATGATGTCAGGAGATTGAGACCATTGTGGCTAACACGGTGAAACCCCATGCCTACTAAAAATACAAAAATTTAGCAAAAGCGTGGTGGCTGGTGTTTCTAATCCCAGCTACTTGGGAGGCTAAGGCAGAAGAATGGGGTGAACCCATGAGGGGGAGCTTGAAGTAAGCCGAAATGGTGTCACTGCAGTCCAGCCTGGGCAACAGAGGGGGATTCTGTCTCAAAAAAAAAAAAAAAAAAAAATGAAAAAGAAAAATGATGAAAGAAAAGAGTTGGCAATATCCTTTTATCCCCTACATGAAAGAAATCAACAATGCAAAAAATTTCATTTATACGAATGTAGAATATCAGTTTTCAAGTCGTCTCTGATACCTATAGGTGACTAGAGTTCAGATATTTGTGATAAAATTACTCACCCTTTGGACACACCAGTTCTATCCATGATTATCTTCACTTCTTTCACTGAACCATATCTACCAAAGCAGCTTCGAACCTCAGTTTCATCCATCTATGGAAAAGAAATGAACTCCAAGAGTAAAAATGCAGCATTCAAAAATTTCATATTTACCACAACTTTACTACCATAAGGTGAAATTTCTCCCCCCACTCATCCCCAAATGACCAGTAGCTTTTCATCAAAGATATTTTTAGTACCTATGGGTCAAACATAAAACCAACTGTAAACCTCTGTGAAATACAAAAAAAATATTAAGTTTGTAACAGGGTCCAAATCTCTTTGTTTTTAATGTATTTTAAGGTAAAAATGAGGTATCAATACAATACCCTATCATTAATTCCACCAACAAAAACAGTGTTTGGCATGATTTTGCCTTCTGGTAAAACACAGCCTTGGCTAGCTGCAGCTGATGCAGACTCGGTGCTGGCCTCCCTGGAGATGGTTGAGTTTGGAGTCTCAGGATTTGCAGCAGACTGTAATTTGGAAAGCAGACATCATAATTACATATACAGGCAAAACCCATACATCAGGTGTAACATAATTTTTGCATTTTAAGTATAAAATATTTTATATAAATTACTTTCATTGTCATTTAGTCAACAGTGAGGCTAAGTTCAGGTTCAGGATTTAAACTAATCAGAGTACACTAGCATGGAATTTTAACCAAAGCATATAGTACTTTCTTAAACCCAGTGCCGCTCATCACCAAGCCTTGTACAAAGATGTGGAAGAATACTCATTTGGTATTTGTGAAAATACCATGTGAATTAGTTAAAAAAAAAAAAAAAAAAAAAAAACTAGAAAGTTCAGATTTTTAAAAATAAAATTTATTAAAATCATCCTGTTTTGTACTCATAAACAACCTTTAACTTTACAGAGTAGACTAAGGATAAATTTTTAAAAAAGAAAAAAAAAAAAAAAAAGCTGCACCAAAAAGAAAATAAACCTCAAAGTTTTAAAGCAATGTCTTGCTTTGCCTTTTTCACCAAAATTAACATGAGTTTTTTACAACGTTAACACTCCCTGTATTCGTATGCCTGTTTTACTTTGGAAATGGATCATGGATATCCTACTTGCTCACACGTCACAGCTCCTTCTAAAAAAAGGGTTATAATCCTTTTCCCTAACGCTAGTGTGTTCAAAGCATCTTTGAAATCACGTTTTTCTTCCTAATACCAAATCAGTCTAACTGATAATTCTAATTTTCACAATGGGCTGATAGATATAAATGATACCATCTTTATATTCAGATTAAAAAACCACATATATATAACTCATTAATTTTCTAGGTTCTGATCAGAACTGTCTTTATACTTTCCACAGTAGATTCTAGGGTTAACATAAAATTTTCTGAAGTAGTATTCACAAGTAATATATATATTGGAGAAACACAGCATAGTGAAACAAAAATTAATTTAGTCAGGAGATCTAAGTTTATGTCCCTTACAGGTAAGTGGTTATAACCCACTGACTTGCCAGCTGTGTATCTCTGGGGAAACTGCTTTGAGGATGAAATCAGATAACATCTGTGTTGTCATTCATTTTGTACATACGAAGTGGTAAAAGTGATATGCCAATGTAAGTTAGTGTTGTGTTATTTGAGTTTATTTTCAGTAGACTTTTTCAAGTTTCTTTTTAGGCTTTACTATTTTAGCTGACTTATTTTAAAGAAATTTTAATTAAGAACTAATTGAAAGATCAGGAAACTATGACACATCGTTAATTTAAAAATCATTGGTGAAATGCCTGTTGATTATAAAAGGTAAGTACAAAAGGCTGAAAAAGAGAAAGCTATTACACATATACCTGTTTGAAAGAAAACAAAAGACAAAAGAAATTGTATATCTTTTTGAAAAACACAGTGATGTTACAGAAGTTAATAAGAAAGTAGAGTTCCTGTTTTATTAATTAGATGCTAGAAGTTACTGATTCTACACAGCTTTTCTAGAGATGAAATTTAAATTGTCAAATCAATGAAAGCCGAGTTTACTGCTTTTCTCTATTCTTTTGTGCTTGTACTTGTTATTTTGGGGTTGTAACTAATTCCTAATTCTTTCCTTTAATAGGAAAGAATGACAATGATGTGGAAGAAACATTTTAAAAAACTATTTCTGAAGTTCTTCCTTTCTAAAAATGTCTTACCTTATTTTTTTCTAAATGACGTTAAGCTGCATTATGTTGAACTGTTGGGAACCTGAGTGGATTTCCCTTCCCTACAGACAATTTACCAATCTCTTTTCAGTTCATTCAGAAATCCCAAACAGAATAATATTGGAAAATAAGCTGAAATTCTGAGGTTCTTGTAGTTTCTTTTTCTCCTTTTCAATTCCCCCTTGATTGGGGGATGAACTTTGGAAATGTTTGTCTTTGATAAACAAGCTATATTACAGTATTGTATTTGCACCATAGTGTTGGGTTGTATGTTAATTTAGAAGTGTAACATCTGGCAGAAAACTGTGTCAGATTATGAGAGGTTACGGAAATGCACTGATTCCGTATTTTAGGGATTTAGGGTTGTTTAGATGACTCGTCACAACTGAGATGTATTCCTGGAACCTGATGGGCTGAAGACCAGGTATGATACTACTGCACATCCTACAATGTCAAGACAGTCTCCTACAATAAGGAATCACTTGGTCCAAAATTTGAAAAGCGTGTGGTTGGCCGGGCGCGGTGGCTCAAGCCTGTAATCCCAGCACTTTGGGAGGCCGAGGCGGGCGGATCACGAGGTCAGGAGATCGAGACCATCCTGGCTAACACGGTGAAACCCCGTCTCTACTAAAAATACAAAAAAAAAAAAAAAAAAACTAGCCAGGCGCGGTGGCGGGCGCCTGTAGTCCCAGCTACTCGGGAGGCTGAGGCAGGAGAATGGCGTAAACCCGGGAGGCGGAGCTTGCAGTGAGCTGAGATCCGGCCACTGCACTCCAGCCTGGGTGACAGAGCAAGACTCCGTCTCAAAAAAAAAAAAAAAAAGAAAAGCGTGTGGTTAAGAAACCTTGTAACCGTGGCACAAGAATTGAAGAGGAAAATTATTGTTTTGGAAGAACCTGATTTCCATTGCTCAGTAAAGTAAATCTTTCATGACCTCACTTTCAGTTTCCTTGCTTGAATATGAATGATTGGAAAAGATCTCTGGGTCTCTTCCAATTCTCACACTCTATACAATTGTAAAATGGATACTGGAAACAACAGTAGTTTGGTAAAGAAGAAAAAGGGCATTTGATATTGTCAGAAGTTTGACTTTAGCTTGAATATTGCCAATTGGCTGCCTGCTTAACTGGAATCCTACATACAAAATTCACCGAATCACTTTAATAGCGCCATAACGTTTTAAATTAAGGAAGTCATCATCATGTCCTAGTACTCAGCCAGCAGGTGGCTCTCAAAGTCAACAAAGCAGGCAATGTACTTCACTTTTTGCAATGTACTTCATTCTTACCATGGTTTGATTAGCTGGAATTGTTCAATTTCTACCGTGTGTGTATTTATACATACTTATGTAATGTACATATAAAAATCCACAATCAATAGACAACCTTGGGTTAGTTCCAAACTATGACCAAAAATATAAATGAGTGCTCAGGATAAGCAAAAGTTTAATTTTAAAGAAAGTACCATCATAACCATCAATAGCATTCTGCAAACAAACTGCATTAAAGAAGTAACTTTCTCAATCACACCTTCAAGTGAGTTGGTGAATTTTGAAATGAGAAATGAAGACCTTCATATACAAAACTCTCATTGCTACTTATAGCAAATATATTCTTTGTTATATGCAGACAACCAAGTGACAAATACAGCTAAAAGCTCGAAAAAATATTATTTAAACTCCTGGTATGTCAGCTCCTTTTCTAGTACTGTCTAATTCCATTACTATGTGAACATGTAAGCAAACTGATATTCAGAAAAACCGACCAGGAAAAAGCCAGTCATCTGCAGTCATCAAAGTTACATTCACAGTAGCAGGAAGAGGAACAAAAAAGATAATGCTAAAATTAAGAAAACATGACGTGAAAATCAGAATCAAAACTTTAAGTAAATCCAAGAGCAGATTATCGGGGAGTGGTGGGTGTGGAGGATGAAATTCAAGCAATACATCATCCTGGCAAAACTAAGCAAGAAAAAGCGAAGAAAGAAAAAGTATTTATAAGACCTGAAAAATGGGTTGTGGCCAGAGGTCATAAAAAAATGTCATGCACAAACTCTACAGGAATAAATTTGGAAATCCAGTACATGGTAAACTTGTAGAGAAATTTTTATTTTTACTAAACAATCTTGAAAAAGAACACCGAACGATATCTGACTCAGTTTCCCTGGGATTTGTTTCAACTTGAAAGGAAACAGGTGACTTGAGTGTATGTGTTGTGTTACACAGAAGTGCACACACATACCAGAAACCTGAAATAAAGTTAGAATACGCAAGGGATTAAGATATTTAAACACTTTTCTTCAATTTTCAAAGAGGAAAAAAGTACTTTTCAATGCATTTTACAAAGTTAAAAAGCATATAAGCAACAAAGCCTCAAGATCCCCTCAACACAAATGCAAAATTCCAGCAGTAAAGAATCTAGTTTATACTGGCAATGAAAGGATACTCCATTCGCAGGATATGCTACTTTAATTCACCATTGAAGAAGTGTTTAATAAAATACAGCATTCATTTTTAAATTTTTTAAAAACCTAAGTAAAATAGAAATAGAGGAACCTTATTTTCTATCCATCTAATGCTACCCTATCATTAAGCTTAAAGTGAAATACTGGAGTCATCTCCATTGAAAATAGGAATAAGGTAATGGCACTAGGGCACCTCATCATTACTACTATATATATTTTTCCACGATATATATATATCTATATATATATATATATATATATATTCCACGATATATATTCCAAACGATATATATATCGTTTTTACAAGCGAATAAGAAAAATAAAATTATAAAGGAAATTTAAAAAGTTAAAGTTAAAAGTTAATGATCAATGATCAACTTCACTGATGATTTTAAAAAGTGCACATCAACATAGTGTAACATTGTCCAGCTATTAATTTGACAATTTAAAAAATCCTACTACCTTTCATTAGAAAGGGTATGAAACAGAGATCACTCTACACACCATCAGTGGGAAAATACTGATACATGCTTTACCAAGAGTACCCTGGAAAAGGAGTATCATAATTTGATAGGTGAGGATACTCACCACCACACTAATGAGGAGAATTAGTTATAAAATTGCTATAAAAAGGCAAAGCGCTTTTACCCAGCAATGCCACTTACGGCAATTTATCTCAAGGAATAGTACAAGCATGCTAAGATATTTACACAAGGATATTCACAGCACTTTTTCTTTTGAGACTGAGTCTCCCTTTGCTGCCTAGGCTGGAGTCCAGTGGCACCATCTCAGCTCACTGCAATCTGCTTCCCAGGTTCATGTGTTTCTCCTGCCTCAGCCTCCCAAGTAACTGGGATTACAAGTGCACACCACCATGCCTGGCTAATTTTTTGTATTTTTAGTAGAGATGAGGTTTCACCATGTTAACCATGCTGTTCTCAAACTCCTGACCTCAAGTAATCCGCCTGCCTCAGTCTCCCAAAGTGTTGGGATTTCAAGCATGAGCCACTGAGCCCAGCCGTGATAGTTTTAATACTGAAAAAGTATTCATAATAAAGGAATTTAGTAAAATAATAGTATAATTTTTAACATGATATACTGAAAACTAAAGTTATGTTCAGAATAATACCCACATTAATTGAAAGCTGCAAGCTGTAAAACAGTATTAAGTAGTACAATGTAACTTTTGTAAAAGTTGGCCTATCTATACGCAATTGCAACTGCATAAAAATAAGCTGGAAAGGCATTCATGTATCAAAATTTAACTGTGGTTATGTGTGTTGGTATTAAGATGGATCGCTATTTTTTTACTGTGACTGTTTTCAAATGAGTAAATATACTACTTTTTTAATCAGAAAAAAACCTAATGAAACTATTAGCATTACTTCCCTTTACCTCTAAAAATGAAAAGTATTATTGTAAATAATTATTACTTACAACTCAAAGTGATTTTTATATTAGCATGGATAACTACATGTTATACACTTTACACATAATAGTTGCTCAATTATATATATTTTAATGTTTGTACATGGTCATATAAACTGTGTATAAATCTTTTACTTCTAAAAATTTAAAGACTGAGAATTATCAATGCAGAAACACACACATCATGTAACACGCATGTTTGTGACTCAGTGTTTGGTTGCGTATTCAGAGCCACATGTGTTGTTGCTCTCAATCAACGCTGGGCATTTACCAAACTCACAGAAACGCACACCCAACATTATCTACCAAAGAGACAGTTTGTCAAAGATTCCTGGTTTATCTAGAGGGGAAAAACCGTGCCTGGCGTTCAAAAATTCTAAAATTCTCCATGGCAACTACTGAAGCCGACCTCATGCCACAAAAATGGCGTCAGGCGAGCTTTTGGGCCTGTCGCCACAGCATGAGGGAGCTGCCATCAGCTAGTTCCCGCAGCTGGCAGGCGCGAAAAGGCCAGAGGCACTTCCTGCCCAGCCCCCTCAGCTAGCAGGCCAAGCCTTCAGGGCTTCCCCACACACCACATTCAGGCCCCCACAAACCCCACCCGGTACATGGACCAGAAGGGAACCACTTCCGGAAGAAGTTCCGGCCCTCCCAGTCCAAGGAGACAAGTCCCTCAGCCGGCCTGCCGCCATCTTGCGGAGCCACCTGGAGAGCGTCAGAAGTGAAGTTGGCGGGGTGGGGATGCTTGGGCATGGGGAAGGGGGAAACGAAAAAGGGTGCCTCGGAGTAGGGGGGGGGGTGTAGCGGGGAGGGGTGGAACCCGCACCCCAAACCGCTACCAGGAGAGAACCCAGGGCAGGAAATGGGTGCCGCACCAAGGCTGTGGCCCTTGCAAGTGGCCTATGAGGCAGTGCTTCTCCGGGGCCCACCATCACGCCACGCTCGGTGTCCCGCCACTTCCGTGCCGGCCTCTCTGTAGGCCGCACCACTGCGAGGCTGCCTCTTCCCACCCTGCCGGACACGACTCATAGTGCGTCTAGGCGGGTGTCCCCAGAATGGGAAATCTGAGAGTGAGGCGGGGCCTGGTTTCGCCCACCGGTGAAGACCCCACAGGCGTTGGCCCTCAGGCCTCTCCCTCAACTCACCATGATGGCGGCAGGCAGCAGTTCCTGACAGGCTCAAGGAGGAACAGACGCTTGCTTCACCCACCACTTCTGGGTCTGCTGGTGAAGTCCGCGGGAACTGGCTGCGGGGCTTCGAGCAGTCAAAGGAGCCAAAGGCGAAGGTGTAAGTTAAATCAAGGGCAGGCGACAAAGCTAAAGAGCCTCTAAAAGCGGACCCGCCAGGCTGAGGAGCGCAGGCGGACTGAGGCGTGGGCCGCGGGATTCTGGGAGGTGCCTCCAGTGCCGGGTATCGGGGCGCGTGGTATCGGCCTCAGCCAATGGGTGGCAGCGCCCCCGCCCCCTGCTGGCGTTAGGTGGGGGCCTGCGGGGGACGACGGCGTCCCACACGCTGTGGTTGTGTACGATACGCAGGGTACGCCGTGCATGGGTGCAGGGCCAGTGCCTGGGGTCCCGCCCTCACATGGACCGAGAGACACACACATCACCTCCAAAACTTCCTTGAAATAAGTATGCATACTGAAATATGTGGTATAGTTTTGATAATCTAATGGGACTAGGCAGTAGTTTCAAAATGACTTCTGGAATGCACAGGGTTAGCACAATCACTGTTAGCTTCACACCCACCCCAAAATCTTTTTAAATGCCTACGGAAATAAAAAGAAGCAAGTCTGGAAAACGGAAGGAGACAGACGGGCCAGAAGCTTGGACTACTTTCTGTCAAGTTTGAGATAGAAGGGGTTGGATGGAAGAATATGCCAGTTTTGACATTCAGGATGTTTATTCTTTTTTTTTTTTTTTTTTTTTTTTTTTGAGACGGAGTCTCGCTCTGTCGCCCAGGCTGGAGTGCAGTGGCCGGATCTCAGCTCACTGCAAGCTCCGCCTCCCGGGTTCCCGCCATTCTCCTGCCTCAGCCTCCCGAGTAGCTGGGACTACAGGCGCCGCCACCTCGCCCGGCTAGTTTTTTTGTATTTTTTAGTAGAGACGGGGTTTCACCGTGTTAGCCAGGATGGTCTCGATCTCCTGACCTCGTGATCCGCCCGTCTCGGCCTCCCATAGTGCTGGGATTACAGGCTTGAGCCACCGTGCCCGGCCAGGATGTTTATTCTTTCAAGAAACAGTTACTGAGTGCCTGTGATTACAAGGTACTGCAGATGCAGGCGTGAACAGAATAAAAGAATCTCTCTTTGCTCAGGGATTTTACATTTTAAAATCTAGGCCTTACAGGAAGATGCTAGGCCTTCCTAGAGAATTCTGAAACATTCTCAAGGTTGGCGCCAGGGCCTAGAGCAGCATCAAGCTGTGGGGCAGTTGGTGGAGCCAATCACATAACTTTGGGGACCACTGCAGCACCTTGTTATACACACAGGGCTGAGTGGCTGTCACCTTTATCCTCAGACTTCACTTCTGTACTGACTGAAAGCATTAAAATGTTACTTTTTGAACTGGCAAAATGGTGGAGTTCTATAACGTGAGAAGTGTCTCATACTATCACCTACTAATGCGGGATAAAAAAAAGTTTTTATTCAATAGGCAGCTAAACCCATAAAAAAAGAAGGGAAATTCCAAGTACCAAAAATAAACTGAAAACAAGAGCAATGACTTGTTCAACTGATTTTTCTTCCACCCTGGATATGGGGGCTGGGTTGTAGGGCAACCAGTCATGCTAGTTTGCCCAGAACTTACAGGTTTTAGCACTGAGAAATTACAACGTCCCTAAGGAAACCAGGAAGATTGGTCCCCCCAGATGTGGGCAAAATGTAGTTACTCTCTCTAACTTGAGGTGTGGATGTTTAGGAGCAGGAGGTAAGGGCTCGAGGTGGCACCTGGAAATGAGTACTCTGCAAAAAGCCATTGTCCCTAAAATCCTTAGGAAAAGGATGGAGTAGGAAAAATGCAAATCACCCATGAACGAGCATATGAGGAAGCTTGTCCCATCTCTGGATGAAGAAAATACGTATTTAACTCTGATTAAATTTTGAAACCCTAGACCTGCATGTCATCAAAGTTCATGGTTTAAATCTATAACAAATTATTGGAATCCGCAAGCCAAGAAATTGATCCTCCTACACCATCACCCTGTCTCCTGCCTGAAGAGATCCTAGACATGGGGCATCAAGAATTCCTGGCAGAAGCAAACATAAAACCAACTTGGATGAATGCTTCTACAACCTAGGCTGAAAGCGATTCTCATGAGAAAATGATTATTTAAGGATACGCTCACAATAAGAAATTATACACACTACTTACCTTGTATAAGAATGGCATACAAAAAATAAAGTTAAAACTTACAGAAGAAGCTGCTCAGTAGCAATAGAAACTAGAAGATAGTGGTAATATGCTCAGAATAAGACTTAGAGAAGAAGCTTCTTTTGGATTGTGTGTGTGTATGTTTTTTTGTGTGTGTGTTATTTTTCCCACTATTTGGAGTAATGCACTCTAAGCGCATTTAAGTGTTTGTTTTAATATTTTAAAATGTAAACTTAAAATATAAAGCTCATAATACAAAGGTCTTTAGGATGTTTTAGCTCTGCATACCCTCCCTTCTCTCAGTTTATAAGTTATTCACTACTTTAGCTCTATCCTGTTTTCATCATATAAAGTAGACATCGTTTTTTAAACCCACCCACAAATGTAATAATATTTTGCTTACCATTTCTCTGCATATCTCAGATCTTCTTTCTGAATCATTTTCCTTGTTCCTGTAGCAAATTACTTATGATTTGTGTGACAGTGTGATGTGGTACTCTTGGGTTTTTTCCCACCTGAAATATTTTGATTTTGCCCTTTTGTTTCATGATAATTCTACTGAATAGACAATTCTAGGTTTACAAGTATTTTCCCTGTCAGAATATTGAGCATTTTACTCTGTTATCTTCTAGTTCTCTATTGCTACTGAGAGTCAAAAGGACTGCTGTCAGTCTTTTTGCTGTTTAAGATCAATTTTTCTTTGGTGTTCTGAACTTTCCCAATTATGTCAATAGGTGTGGAGTTTTAAAAAATTTATCCTGCTTCGGAGTTTTAACACTTTCTGGATTTGTGCATTAGTTCTTAACAATTCTGAACAGTTTCACCCATTTTCTTGTTAAAGATTAGCTGGTTAAGGAATCAAACATTTTTTGTATTTATATTTCATGAGTGATTCTTAGAATTTACTTTTCTTTAGATCATGAATTTTTCAAAGGTTGGTGCTATTGTCTCGAAATCTTGTGAAATTTCTTAATAAAAAAATATTGTGATCAAAACTAATTGTATCCATGTCAATGTGTTGAGTAAGATTAGTGGCATAATTCATATGAGCTCAGAAATAAATCTTTATATTGCTACCTATATGTTGGGGGAGAAGAAAAAATGCTGTTGTCTTTGAACACCTCTGCCAGTTCTTCTGTGCTTCTAAAGCCTATGGCTTTGGAAAGAAGGCTATGCTTTTATAGGCACCCTTGAATTTCAATCACTTGCAAATCATTTCAAGATTTTTGTTGTATCTGCCCTGAGCCTCTATTGTTATTTACCTGTTTTTAAAATTAACTTCTTATCCTAAACAATAATATTTGCAAGCTCAGATGTACCGTTTTAGCTACACTTTGAACAATGACATTAAAATAAATACAGAATGATTTAGAATTTAAAACAATATTTGTTTATGCATCACTTCATACCACATTCTGCCAGGGCAACAGGTAACATAGTTTTGGAAAACACTGGATCTGCAGAACTGTATGGAGCTTTAGATACCCAAAGTTTGGCCCATGGGACTAAAAAGTAGAGTTTCAAATTGTTCTGCCTAATAAATGAGAATAATCAAATTACCAGGGGAGAAACCAAACAAGGCAGGGAAAATAGAAGTTCTGGAAGCTGGAGGAAGGAAGTAACCTTGCAGGTTGGCTTGCTTGCTCACACTTGTAATTCTAACACTTTAGGAGGCTGAGGCTGATGGATGACCTGAATTCAGGAGTTTGAGACCAGTATGGGCAACATGGCAAAACCCTGTCCCTACCAAAAATACCAAAAATTAGCTGGGTGTGGTGATGTGCACCTGTGATCCCTGATCCTCAGGAGGCTGAGGTGATAGGATCATTTGAGCCTGGGAAGTGGCGGTTGCAGTGAGCCAAGATTGCCCCTACTGCATTCCAGCCTTAGTAACACAGTGAGACTGTGTCTCAGAAAAATGAAATTAAAATAACCTTGCAAAAAGACAAGAAGTTGGAGCATGCAGTAAAAGGTATCTGAGTACATTAGAATCATCTAGGGAACTGTGAAAAATTTATATGTCCATGCCTCACCCCAAACCAATTAAATCGGCTGAGTGCAGGGTTCAAAAGTCAGTAAATTTTTTAAGGAAATGTTTCTCTAGTTACTCCAATATGCAGCCAAATTTGAAAATTGGTGCTATGGAGACTTGCTACTCAAAGTATGATCCTCAGATCAGCAGCTTCACATCACCTGGGTACTGGCAAATCTCAGGTTCCATGCCAAACCTACTGAATCAGAATCTGCATTTTAACGAGATCTCCAAATGGCTCATGTGCAAAATGAAGGTCAAGAAGCATTGCCATAGAGGGGCACTTGTCATAAACAATTTGCCCCCCTACATTTGAGAATCCTTCACCTTAGAAATAAAGAGTCTACTTTCTCAACCTTTCTTGCAGCTACAGCTTGGGCAGGTAACATACACAACATCAATGAAGGAAGTAGAGCTACACAGAGGTTGTATAACTTCCCTGAGATCATAGTTGGTAGGTATCAGAGCTGTGATTTAAACACAGTCAGACTTTAAAGTCTGAGTTCTCAACCATTATGCTATATTAGCAAACTACGAGGAGGAAGAAAGGGGTAATATAGTGAAACAAAATTAAGTATTAAATCTCTTCTTCTCAAGAAAGTAACTAAACAAGCCAAACCACAAGTCTAAGCCCCAAACAACACTGTAGTCTGAATGTTTTGCCTTCTCAACCCCTCACCTATTCATATGTTGAAACTCTAGTCCCTGAGATGATGATATTAGGAAGTGGAAATTTGGGGATGTGATTAGTTCATGAGGGCAGAGCTTTGGTGAATGGGATTGATGCCCTTAGAAAACAGGACTGAGAGAGGTTAGTTACTCCTTCTACCATGTAAGAATACAGCAAGAAGTTGGCAGTCTGCACCCCAGAAAAGTTCCTCACCAGAACCTCACCATGCTAACACCCTGATCTTAGACTTGCCAGTCTCCAGAACTGTGAGATACAAATGTATACTGTTTATCAGCCACTCAGGTTCAGATATTTTTATTATAAGAGCCTGAACAGGTTAAGAAAAGTGGTACTGGACCTTTCATGTCTTCTT